AGAACTACGTCGTAAATACTAAGCTGAACAGGCGGTTCGGATTGGATCGGTCACGGTTACCAATACTGGTAGAAAACCGATGACCGTCAACATGGTGTACATATAAATCATGTAGTAAGTAGTAAGCCCCGATAATCAATCACTTTCCAATCTTCCATCTACCCCCCAAGTGTCTTCTCCGGTCTTCCGAGTAGACTCCCAGCATCACTCCCAGTTTCGGTCGTCAAGCTTTTCACCATTCAACAGGTTATGAGCCCAAGCACGATGTCCTCTGCTCATGATGCCACCACCAAGATCTCCATCGACAAGTTCGACGGCGACAACTACGCGACGTGGAGCCGCTACATGCGTGGCGTGTTCCTGACCAAGTCGGCGTGGCACGTGGTGAACCGGGAGACCACCCCCCACCTTCGCCGATCCTCGCGCCAGTGACGACTACATCAAGACGAACAACATTGCGTTCGGCTTGATGCTGCTGCACATGAGCGCGGATTATCATCACGTGGTTGATGACTGTGAAGAGGCGTGGGTCGCGTGGGCGCGTTTGAAGACGCTGTACGGCGGGTCGCAGAAGGCTGAACGCATCTACTTGAAGCGCCAGCTGTTCAGCATGGAGATGGCGGAAGGCGGCAATGTGATGCATCATTGCAACGAAGTCCTCAACATCAGCGCGAAGCTCAGCAGCATCGGCGCCAAGATGGAGGACGAGGACGTGGCGATCTGCTTGTTGCGCAGCCTCCCCAAGAGCTACGAGAACGTCGTTCTCAACTTGGAGATGAGCAGCGCGGAACTGCGATCGCGAGACGTCGTGAGAGTGCTCACGAATGAGCACATCAAGAGACAAGGTGACAAGACGACATCGGTGAAGACTGAAGACGCGGCGAAGGCGTTCAGTGCCGAGCGTGAACCTCGCCAGTGTACATACTGCGGAAAATTGGGGCACACGGCGGAGCGGTGCTGGACCAAGCAGAAGGACGAAAATCAAGGTGGAGCTCGACGCGGCGGCAACAATGCTCGTGGACGCGGAGCCAACAACATTCAGTGGCGAACCAACAGCAACTACGATGACAACTACGATCGAGTTGCGTTCGCGGTTTCGCTGGAGGCTGGACTTTCGACGGGCAAGAATATGCCAGGGATGTGGGCAGTCGACAGCGGTGCGACGCATCACATCTGCAACGACAAGGCCAAGTTTGCAAGCCTGAATGAGCGAGAGGAAGGCGAGCTATCAGTGGCTGATGGCAGCAAGGCTGCGATCAAGGGTGTGGGAACCATCATGGAACGGGTGGTTCTGCCCAATGGTGACGAACTCGACATCGAGATCAAGGACGCACTGTTCGTACCAAGTATGAGCAAGAATCTGCTTTCGGTGCCACAGATCAACAAGGGTGGCAGGTTCCAAGTCGTGTTCGATGGATCCAAGATGCAAGTGAAGCGCAAGAATTCCACACAAGTCGTGGCAACAGCGGATCTCGTCGATGGACTTTACTGGCTGCGGACTCCTCAACGATCGGCAAATGCAGCAACACGCAATGGGACCATCGACTTGCATGCGCGCATGGGTCATGCACCCCTCGAAGTTCTGCGCAAGATGGTGGCCACTGGCATGATCAAGGACGCCAAGGCACCTCTCAACTCGACTGGTCCAAGTGTGTGTCGCGGTTGCCAGCAAGGAAAGATGGTTCAAAAACCATTCCCAACCAACCGTGACAAACGCCAATATGGTGTGTTCGAGTTGCTGCACTTCGACATCTGCGGGCCAATGGAACAAGTTTCGATCGGCGGCAGCAGATACTTACTGCTTGTGGTTGACGAAGCCAGCGGTTGCATGAAGGGCTTCTGTCTGCGGTCCAAGTCTGAGAGTGAAGACTGTATCAAGAACCACATTATCAAGATTCAAACTCAGTTCGGCACGAAGATCAAGTTTGTTCGGCACGATGGAGCGCATGAGTTTGCGACCAACTCCATCAAGACCTTCTACGAAGATCATGGTATTGAACAACAGATCACGGTGCCGTATGCACACCAGACCAACGGCACCGCAGAACGCGCGATGAGGACCATCGTCACGATCGGACGCAGCTTGTTGCATCATGCAAAGCTGGAGAAGTGTTTCTGGGCTGAAGCGGCAATGACGGCGATCTACATCAAGAACCGCCTGCCTTCACCCAAGATCGACCACAAGACTCCGTTCGAGATCGTGTACAAGTCGAAACCAAGTGTCAAGCACATGCGCGTGTTTGGATGTCGGGCGTTTATCCTGACACCAAGGGAGAAGCGATTGAAGTGGGACCCGAAGGCTTGTGAAGGGATGTTCATGGGCTACGAAGAAGCGTCAAAAGCTTATCGAGTGTACGACATTGAGACGGGCCAAGTGGTGATCAGTCGTGACATCACCTTCGACGAATCGACTTTTGACTTTTCGATGGACCGACCAAGTGACGATGATGAAGATGCGGAGTTGGACCTCGACCTCCTGGCGATCAACGAGGACGACGTGCGTCAAACCGTCTACAAGCAGACTGGCAAGCGCAAGAGTGAAGCAAGACCCGGCATGTCACGGTCAGCTCGCCCTCGAACTGGGTTGGAACAAGCAAGTGCGCCGGAACACGTCTCCAACCGTCACCAGAAACGACGATCAAGTGCTCCAGAAACGATGTCTGATGACGAAGAAGATGCAAGCGTGTACGATCAAGATGACGACTCGACGCCTCCAACATTTTGGCGTGCAAGTGCAAACGCAGTGGAAGCAACGGACCTAGCAGAACCTGTGACTTTTCAAGACGCGATCAATGGTCCTGATCAAACTCACTGGCGAAATGCTGTGAAGGCGGAACTCAAGTCGATGCATCTTCGTGGAGTTTTCCGTGCGGCAAAACTGCCAAGAGGCCAAGGCGCGATCGGCACCAAGTGGGTGTTCAAGATCAAGCGCAAAGCGGATGGATCGGTCGAGAAATACAAGGCGCGTCTCGTTGCCAAGGGCTTCAAGCAGAAGTACGGCATCGACTACACAGAGACGTTCTCGCCCGTGGTCAAGTACGTGACACTGCGTATGGTGATCGCGATCACCAAGTATTTCGACTGGCCACTGGACCAACTCGATGTGGTGACAGCCTTTCTCTACGGAGTGATGAAGGAGAAGGTGTACTGCGTGATACCAGAAGGCGTCGAGATGGATGGCGACTTCGACTGTCTCGAGTTGGTGAAGGCGATCTACGGTCTCAAGCAAGCTTCACGTGTGTGGAACGAGACTTTCGACGAGTTCGTATGCTCCATCGGTTTCGAAGCGTCGGCGTTCGACCCATGTCTCTACATCAAGGTTGTCGACGGTCACTGTGTGCTCGTGCTGGTCTACGTGGATGACGTGTTGGTCACCGGCAGCTCGCTCGAGTTGATTGCGCAGACGAAGGCCGACCTCAAGACGCGTTTCGAGATGACCGACAGTGGCAAGTGTACTTTTGTACTGGGCATCGAACTGGTGGACGAATCGGATGGCAGCGTGACAATGTGCCAGCGACGGTATGTCAACGACATCCTCAAGCGCTTCGGCATGGATGAGTGCAAGGCCACAGCAAGTCCGGTCGACTTGAGCACTCGGCTTGTCGCAAGCACCGAAGCGGCCAAGATCGACGTTCCGTTTCGTGAAGCTGTGGGAGCTTTGATGCACTTGACGACTGCGACGCGCCCGGACATTGCGTATGCTGTGGGGTACGTCTCGCGCTTCATGGAGAATCCGCAGCAAGAACATTGGACGGCGGTGAAGCGCATCTTTCGTTACTTGCAAGGGACCAAGTCGCACGGACTCCGCTTCCAGCCAAGCGACAAGATCGACTTTCGTGGCTACTCGGACGCGGACTGGGCCGGCGACCACGCTGATCGCAAGTCGACTTCGGGTTACACTTTCATGCTGATGGGTGCTCCTGTGAGTTGGGGAAGCAAGAAGCAGTCAAGTGTGTCGCTGTCGACGAGTGAAGCGGAATACATCGCACTGAGTCTGGCCATCCAGGAAGGCAAGTGGGTGCATCGCCTGCTATGCGAGATTTTGGCGGCCGCAAACGAACCAGGACCGGACCTCGTCATCCGTGAAGACAACCAGTCGTGCATCAAGATGACGAAGAATCCGGTGAATCATGGCCACGCCAAGCACATCGACATCAAGTACCATCACATCCGTGATGAGGTCAAGCGCGGGGAAGTGCAGCTCGAGTATTGCGAGACTTCCGTGATGATGGCGGACAACATGACCAAGGGACTTTCGGGACCTCGTCACAAGGACTTGACGACGGCTCTCGGCATTCGTGCGAGTTCGGATTGAGGGGGCGTGTTGACGGTCATCGGTTTTCTACCAGTATTGGTAACCGTGACCGATCCAATCCGAACCGCCTGTTCAGCTTAGTATTTACGACGTAGTTCTTACGGTAATTACCATAGTTGATTAGACGCGTAGGATGATGAGACGCTTCACATGATTTATATGTGCACCACATATAAATCATGTAGTAAGTAGTAAGCCCCGATAATCAATCACTTTCGAATCTTCCAACTATTGGGCAAGTGTTTTCTGCTCTACTCTCTTCGGTCTCTCCGCTCCGTTCGCTCCGCTTAAAAAAAATCCTCGCTCCGATCTACAATGCAACAAGTGTCATCAACAATTGCTTGTGGTAGTGTCAGCGAGAAACCAAACGTCGATTCGTCGAATGTGACATCGCAAGACCGCGATATACCTTTGACACTTCTTCGTACCCCATGAATAGTCCTTCACGAGCCTTCGGATCCCATTTCGATCTCTTTTCCTTAGGTGTCAGCACAAACTTTCTGCAGCCGAAAACCCGCATGCGCTTCTTTCATACTTGGTCGAAATCCGTTGACGATCTCGAACGGGGTTTGATCTTGGCACTTGGGCGATGGTAAGCGATTCTTGATGTTGATCGCCGTCATTGCTGCTTCAGCCTAAAAACACTTGTCCAGCTTGGCGTAGTGAAGCATGCTGCGCCCGATCGTCACAATGGTCCGAATTGCCCGTTCCGCTGTGCCGTTAGTCTGATGCGCATGTGGAACGGCAACTTGCTGCTCGATTCCTTGATCGTCGTAGAATGCCTTGAGCGATGCTGTCGAAAATTTCCGTGCACCATCGTGTCGATGAACTTGACCTTGTAGTTAAACTGCGTCTGTACTGCCATGATGTCGATGAACTTGACCTTGTAGTTAAACTGCGTCTGTACTGCCTGTTGCATTGTAGATCGGAGCGAGGAAAGCGGAGCAAACGGAGCGGAGAGACCGAAGAGAGTAGAGCAGAAAACACTTGCCCAATAGTTGGAAGATTCGAAAGTGATTGATTATCGGGGCTTACTACTTACTACATGATTTATATGTGGTGTACATATAAATCATGTGAAGCGTCTCATCATCCTACGCGTCTAATCAACTATGGTAATTACCGTAAGAACTACGTCGTAAATACTAAGCTGAACAGGCGGTTCGGATTGGATCGGTCACGGTTACCAATACTGGTAGAAAACCGATGACCGTCAACACGCCCCCTCAATCCGAATGCTCACGAATCCCGAGAGCCGTCGTCATCTCCTTGTGGCGTGGTCCATGAAGTCCCTTCGTCATGATGTCCGCTAACATCACCGCAGTTTCACAGTACTTGAGCTTCACTTCACCGCGCTTGACCTCATCACGGATGTGATGGTACTTGATATCAATGTGCTTGGCACGGCCGTGGTTGACTGGGTTCTTCGTCATCTTGATACACGACTGATTGTCTTCATGGATCATGAGTTCCGGTCCTTCTTCATTGGCAGCCATCACGATCTCACAAAGCAGACGATGAATCCACTTGCCCTCTTGAATTGCCAAGCTGAGTGCGATGTATTCGGCTTCACTCGTGGACAACGAAACACTTGGCTGCTTCTTGCTGCCCCAACTGACTGGCGCACCGAGTAGCATGAACGTGTACCCCGATGTTGACTTGCGGTCGGTAAGATCACCAGCCCAATCCGCATCCGAATATCCACGGAAGTCGATCCTTGCACTTGGCTTGTAGCAAATTCCATGCGTCTTGGTGCCTTGTAGGTAGCGAAAGATACGCTTAACTGCAACCCAGTGTTCTTCTTGGGGATTTTCCATGAACCGCGACACATAGCCCACAGCAAACGCAATGTCCGGACGCGTTGCTGTTGCATTGTAGATCGGAGCGAGGAAAGCGGAGCAAACGGAGCGGAGAGACCGATGAGAGTAGAGCAGAAAACACTTGCCCAATAGTTGGAAGATTCGAAAGTGATTGATTATCGGGGCTTACTACTTACTACATGATTTATATGTGGTGTACATATAAATCATGTGAAGCGTCTCATCATCCTACGCGTCTAATCAACTATGGTAATTACCGTAAGAACTACGTCGTAAATACTAAGCTGAACAGGCGGTTCGGATTGGATCGGTCACGGTTACCAATACTGGTAGAAAACCGATGACCGTCAACACGCCCCCTCAATCCGAATGCTCACGAATCCCGAGAGTCGCCGTCATCTCCTTGTGGCGTGGCCCGTGAAGTCCCTTCGTCATGATGTCCGCTAACATCACCGCAGTTTCACAGTACTTGAGCTTCACTTCACCGCGCTTGACCTCATCACGGATGTGATGGTACTTGATATCAATGTGCTTGGCACGGCCGTGGTTGACTGGGTTCTTCGTCATCTTGATACACGACTGATTGTCTTCATGGATCATGAGTTCCGGTCCTTCTTCATTGGCAGCCATCACGATCTCACAAAGCAGACGATGAATCCACTTGCCCTCTTGAATTGCCAAGCTGAGTGCGATGTATTCGGCTTCACTCGTGGACAACGAAACACTTGGCTGCTTCTTGCTGCCCCAACTGACTGGCGCACCGAGTAGCATGAACGTGTACCCCGATGTTGACTTGCGGTCGGTAAGATCACCAGCCCAATCCGCATCCGAATATCCACGGAAGTCGATCCTTTCACTTGGCTTGTAGCAAATTCCATGCGTCTTGGTGCCTTGTAGGTAGCGAAAGATACGCTTAACTGCAACCCAGTGTTCTTCTTGGGGATTTTCCATGAACCGCGACACATAGCCCACAGCAAACGCAATGTCCGGACGCGTTGCTGTTGCATTGTAGATCGGAGCGAGGAAAGCGGAGCAAACGGAGCGGAGAGACCGATGAGAGTAGAGCAGAAAACACTTGCCCAATAGTTGGAAGATTCGAAAGTGATTGATTATCGGGGCTTACTACTTACTACATGATTTATATGTGGTGTACATATAAATCATGTGAAGCGTCTCATCATCCTACGCGTCTAATCAACTATGGTAATTACCGTAAGAACTACGTCGTAAATACTAAGCTGAACAGGCGGTTCGGATTGGATCGGTCACGGTTACCAATACTGGTAGAAAACCGATGACCGTCAACACGCCCCCTCAATCCGAATGCTCACGAATCCCGAGAGTCGCCGTCATCTCCTTGTGGCGTGGCCCGTGAAGTCCCTTCGTCATGATGTCCGCTAACATCACCGCAGTTTCACAGTACTTGAGCTTCACTTCACCGCGCTTGACCTCATCACGGATGTGATGGTACTTGATATCAATGTGCTTGGCACGGCCGTGGTTGACTGGGTTCTTCGTCATCTTGATACACGACTGATTGTCTTCATGGATCATGAGTTCCGGTCCTTCTTCATTGGCAGCCATCACGATCTCACAAAGCAGACGATGAATCCACTTGCCCTCTTGAATCGCCAAGCTGAGTGCGATGTATTCGGCTTCACTCGTGGACAACGAAACACTTGGCTGCTTCTTTCTGCCCCAACTGACTGGCGCACCGAGTAGCATGAACGTGTACCCCGATGTTGACTTGCGGTCGGTAAGATCACCAGCCCAATCCGCATCCGAATATCCACGGAAGTCGATCCTTGCACTTGGCTTGTAGCAAATTCCATGCGTCTTGGTGCCTTGTAGGTAGCGAAAGATACGCTTAACTGCAACCCAGTGTTCTTCTTGGGGATTTTCCATGAACCGCGACACATAGCCCACATCAAACGCAATGTCCGGGCGCGTTGCAGTGGTCAGGTGCATCAACGCACCAACAGCTTCGCGAAAAGGAGCATCGACCTTGGTAGTTGCATCACTTGAAACAAGTCGAGAGCTCATGTCGACTGGACTTGCGACTGCCTTGCAATCATCCATGCCAAAGCGCTTGAGGATATCATCGACATACCGACGCTGACATAGTGTCACACTGCCATCTTCACCGTCCAAAAGCTCGATCCCAAGAACAAACGCACACTTGCCGCTGTCCGTCATTTCGAACCGCGTCTTCAGGTCGTTCTTGGTTTGTGCAATCAGCTCGAGTGAGCTTCCAGTCACCAAGACGTCGTCCACGTAGACCAGTATGTTGAAAAGACAGCGGCTGTGAAGAAGACACCTCGTCAAGCTGCGTCAAGTGTTGAAGCAAGTAGAAGACCAAGCTTCGCTATACCGGTGGGTACCGGTATGTACCAGTAAGGGCGAAGTCAGGAAATGACGTCACTGGATGACGTCATTGCATGACGTCAGTGGGTGACGTCAGTGGGTGACGTCACTGGATGACGTCACTGCGAATAATAGGCTTAGAGGTAGTATTCAAAGTTGCGAACTAAGTACCTATTATAAATATATATTCACTTTGCGTTTTGCACTCGGACCAAGAAGTCTAAAGTTCATCAGGTTATGAGCCCAAGTTCGTCAGACTCTGAAACCGCCAACAATTCAAGCTTAGCTGCCATGGACGCCTCCTCCCTCCGCATCTCCAAGTTCGATGGAACTAACTTCCACGCCTGGAAGTTCAAGATGCAGATGGTGCTGGAGGAACGGGACCTATGGGAGGTCGTCAGCGGTGAGATCAAGGCGGAACAGTGCGAGACTCAGTTGGACCAAGCGACGTACAAGAGGAAGTCAAGAAAGGCGATGGCAGTGATCTGTCTAGCCATGGAAGATTCCCAGCTACCGTTGGTCCGGTCGGCAAGTGGTGCATGCGACGCATGGTCAAGGTTGGAAGACCACTTCGAGAAGAAGATTCTTGCCAACAAGCTGTTCTTGCGCCGTCGCTTCTTCACGACAATGATGGAAGAAGGCGAAGATGTGCTCGAACACATCAACAAGCTCAAGACGCTGGCGGAACAGCTAGAAGCGGTGGGGGCTCCAGTCTGCGAGGACGATCTGGTGATCACACTCCTCGGCAGCCTGAGTGACTCGTATCAATTCTTGATCACAGCTTTGGAGTCGCGCTCAGACACTCTTAGCTGGGAGCTCGTGACGTCTCGACTGCTTCATGAAGAAATGAAGCGGAAGGAGCAAGGAAGTAAAGGTGATGAAGCTTCGCAAGGTCAAGCGTTCATCACAAGGGACAATCAGCGCAAAGGGCGACCAGTGAAGAAGTCCTGGCCGTGCCACAATTGCGGAAAGATTGGTCACTGGATGGCGGAGTGCCCCTCGCGCATCCAAGAAAACACGGAGAGACACCGGCCACAGCGTGCTCAAGACAGCGGCGACCGCTATCGATCACAACGTGCAAACGTCGCTCAAGAAGAAGACTCGGGCGACTACCTCTTTTCGATCGGTGAAACGACATCTGCGAAATCGAGCGACATCTGGCTGGTCGACTCCGGGGCGACGCAGCACATGACGTGCTCCAAGAAGTTCATGCGGAACTACAAGGGGTTTGACGCTGTGGATGTCCATCTCGCGGATGATGGAATCGTCCAAGCAATCGGCAGTGGGGACATTGTCATGTCGATGAAGACACCCCAAGGGATGAAGAAAGGTGTGCTCACAAACGTGTGGCACATCCCAAAGTTATCCAGAAACCTGTTCTCGGTCGGCCGCTTCACCAAGGATGTCGGCCCAGTGACGTTCACGAAGGATGGGTGCTATGGAGAAGCGAAAGGGACCAAGTGGAAAATTGGTGCCCGTGAAGGTAAAGGACTGTTCAAGCTGCAAATGACTCCAGTGGCGCCGGAACAAGCAAATGCAGCCAAGTCGTCGGGATGTCAAGGGGGCACCAAGTCGTACCTCTGGCACCTTCGGCTTGGCCACATAGGTCACGATGGACTCAATTGCATCGTGACGAAGAACATTGGAATTGGCATCGACATATCTTCGGTGAAGAAGTGGGACGTTTGTGAAGGTTGTGCTCTGGGAAAACAGACTCGAGTGCGCTTCCAATCAAACACTACAGCTCGCACCTCCAAACTCCTCGAAGTGATTCACAGCGACGTATGCGGACCGATGTCGATGGCAACTTTCAGTGGAAAACGGTACTTCGTGACATTCATTGATGACAAGTCAAGATACTGTGTCGTCTATCTGCTCAAGAGCAAATCTGAAGTTGCGGCGAAGTTCATGGAATACGCTGCGATGGCCGAAACGCAAACCGGAAAGCGCGTGAAGTACCTTCAAAGCGACAATGGGGGTGAATACAAGTCCGACAAGCTGGCACGATTCTGCGCGGAACGGGGAATACAACAAAGGTTCACACCCCCATATATTCCTCAGCTAAACGGAGTAGCTGAGAGAATGAATCGCACGCTGGTCGAGTGTGCGCGTTGCATGATGGAACACGCTGGACTGGGAAAGAGCTACTGGGGTGAAGCAGTGATGACAGCGATGTTTCTTCGAAACCGCTGTCCAACACGTGCCATTCACCAAGACAAGTCTCCATATCAAGTGTGGACGATGAAGAAACCGATTCTGGCCAACCTTAAAGTGTTTGGATGCCACGCGTATGTTCAAGTGCCTCAAGACAAACGCGCGAAGTTCGACTCCAAGTCATCACTCTGTCGTTTCCTGGGATACGCCGAACACCAGAAGTCATATCGATTTGAGGAAGTGTCAACAGGAGCGATCAAGATCAGTCGCGATGCCACATTCATGGAAGACAAGTTTGATGAAGGTCCGCGCAACTACAACGATGAGTCAAGTGTCGTTGAGTTTGATGATCATGATGAGGACGAAGAAAAAGAAGAAGGTAAAACTGACGACGACATGGACTCGAGCGACGATGACAACGAAGACACCAGGTCTTCGAAGAGCAACATCAAGAGACACACGCGCACTCAATCACTTGAGAAAGCTACCGTCATTCCAAGTCCCAAGCGAAGAACATACAGAGGTCCGTCGCTTGAGCATGTGTCAGCGGCTGCAATGGATTTTGAAGCAGCCTACATCGTTGATTCAGTGGGGAAACGCCGACTACATTCAAGTCGGCGATGGAATCAAGCGACTCCGGCAAGTGGAAAGAAGCGTGTGACTCGGAGTTCGATTCGCTTCAGAGAAACGACACGTGGGAAATCGTGCCTCTTCCGAAAGGTCGCAAGGCCATCGGGTGCCGATGGGTTTTTCGTGTAAAGGAGAATCAAGATGGCGAAGTTGAACGTTTCAAGGCAAGACTTGTGGCCAAAGGATTCTCACAGAAATTCGGAGTTGACTATGAAGAAACTTTCGCACCGGTGGCCAAGTTCACATCGATTCGTGTGGTGCTCAGTATGGCGGCTAAGTACGGCCTAATGCTACATCAGATGGACGTCAAGACAGCGTTTCTTAACGGCTCCCTCAACGAAGACATCTACATGGACCAGCCGGACGGATACCTGGATGCAACACAGCCGGACTATGTGTGCAAGCTAAAGAGATCACTCTACGGCTTGAAGCAATCGCCTCGCATGTGGAACCAAACAATCGATGGGTTCATGATCAAGATGGGATTCAAGAAGTGCGAATCGGACCACTGCATCTACATCAAGCGAGACGACCAAGACATGATTCTCGTGGTGCTCTACGTCGATGATCTCATCCTGGCCAGCAGCAACAACGAACTCCTCAAGTCAACCAAGATGGCGCTGAGCAAACGCTTCGAAATGACGGATCTCGGTGAGCTCGATTACTTTCTCGGCATGGAGATCAAGAACGACCGTAAGACGGGAATGGTGACTGTACAACAAACCAAGTTTCTCAAGTCCGCGTTAACCAAGTTCGGAATGGATAACAGCAAGCCAGTGAAGACGCCTCAAGATCCCGGCCTGAAGCTAACCAAGAACATGTGTGAACAAGAATGCAAGCACGAAGACACCATGTGCAACGTGCCATATCGAAGTGCTGTCGGAGGCATCATGTATCTCATGGTCGCCACACGTCCGGATCTAGCTGCTGCAGTGGGATCATTATCCCAGTTCTCGTCCGACCCATGCCCGACTCACTGGCAAGCTTTGAAGCGTGTGCTGAGATACCTGCAAGCAACGCCCAATCATGGTCTTGAGTTTACACGTGAAGAAGGAAGCCGTATCTGCGGGTAAACCGACGCAGACTGGGCCGGCGACATTGAGTCAAGACGAAGTACAAGCGGCTATGTGTTCATGATGAGCGGAGGATGCATCAGCTGGAAAAGCCAGAAACAACGGACGGTCGCGCTATCTTCAACAGAAGCAGAATACATGGCGCTTTCCGAAGCAACCAAAGAAGCAGTATGGCTCAAAGTGCTTTTGGGGGAACTTGGTGAGATGACAAGCGACGAAGCGATCAAGATGTATGAAGACAACCAAGGATCAATCGCTCTCGCCAAGAACCCGGAGTTCCATAAGAGAACAAAACACATCGACATACGCTACCATTTTGTGCGTGAGAAGGTGGAATCAGGTGAAGTCGTTTTGGAGTATTGCCCGACTCAAGATATGCTGGCAGACATGATGACCAAGCCGATCGCCGCTGTACAATTTGAAAACATTCGCGATCGACTTGGGATCCAAGGTGCCGCAGCTAACGAGTCGAGAGGGAGTGTTGAAAAGACAGCGGCTGTGAAGAAGACACCTCGTCAAGCTGCGTCAAGTGTTGAAGCAAGTGGAAGACCAAGCTTCGCTATACCGGTGGGTACCGGTATGTACCAGTAAGGGCGAAGTCAGGAAATGACGTCACTGGATGACGTCATTGCATGACGTCAGTGGGTGACGTCAGTGGGTGACGTCACTGGATGACGTCACTGCGAATAATAGGCTTAGAGGTAGTATTCAAAGTTGCGAACTAAGTACCTATTATAAATATATATTCACTTTGCGTTTTGCACTCGGACCAAGAAGTCTAAAGTTCATCACGAAGTCTTGATGTAGAGACATGGGTCGAAGTCCGATACTTGAAATCCGATGGAGCACACATACTCGTCGAACGTCTCGTTCCACACTCGCGACGCTTGCTTGAGGCCGTAAATTGACTTCACCAATTCCAGGCAATCGAACGTACTGTCAAGTTCGACGCCTTCAGGAATCACGCAGAACACTTGTTCCTTCATGACGCCATACAGGAAAGCTGTCACCACATCAAGCTGGTCGATGGGCCATCCAAAATGCTTGGAAATTGCGATCACCATTCGCAGCGTCACATACTTGACCACAGGCGAAAACGTCTCCGTGTAGTCGATGCCATACTTTTGGCGGAAACCCTTGGCCACAAGTCGTGCCTTGTACTTCTCGATTGACCCATCCGCCTTGCGCTTGATCTTGAACACCCATTTTGTGCCAATGGCGCGTTGTCCGTTGGGCAGCTTGGCTGCACGAAACACACCGCGAAGTCGCATTGACTCGAGCTCTGCATGAATTGCTTTTCTCCAGTGCACTCGGTCAGGGCCGCTTACTGCTGCTTCAAATGTTGAGGGTTCTGATAAGTCCACTGCTGCTTCAACGGCATTTGCACTCGCACGCCAAAACACAGGCGGTGTTGAATCACCAGAATCCTTCGTTTCTTCGTCTTCTTCTTGTCGTGACGAGTTGTTTTCCGGCGCGCTTGACTCTTCTAGTCCTGGTCGTTGACGCACTGCACGCGGTCGTGGAGCTGCTGTATCTTCATCATTGAGTCGGTTCTTGCGCTTGCCTGTTTGCTTGTACTCCATTTGACGCAGCTCTTCGTCATCAAGATCCAGCAATTCGAAGTCCAGGTCATCGACATCTTCATCAGTGATCGGCAGTTGAAGTCCAAAGGTGGACTCGTCGAAGTTGACATCGCGGCTGATAACCACCTGCCCCGCCTCGATGTCATAAACACGATATGCCTTCGAAACTTCTTCGTAGCCCACGAATATGCCAGCGCGAGCCTTTGGATCCCACTTGAGTCGATTCTCTTTAGGCGTCAGTATGTATGTCTGACACCCGAATGTTCGCATGTGCTTGACGCTTGGTTTCAAGTTGTAGACGATCTCAAACGGGGTCTTGTGCACGACTTTAGGTGACGGCAGTCGATTCTTGACGTAGATGGCCGTCATCGCTGCTTCGGCCCAGAAACACTTGTCCAGTTTGGCATGATGAAGCATGCTGCGGCCGATCGTGACAATAGTCCTAATGGCACGCTCTGCTGTTCCGTTTGTTTGATGTGCATACGGCACCGTTGTCTGCTGTTCAATGCTGTTGACGGTCATCGGTTTCTACCAGTATTGGTAACCGTGACCGGTCCAATCCGAACCTCCTGTTCAGCTTAGTATTTACGACGTAGTTCTTACGGTAATTACCATAGTTGATTAGACGCGTAGGATGATGAGACGCTTCACATGATTTATATGTGCACCACATATAAATCATGTAGTAAGTAGTAAGCCCCGATAATCAATCACTTTCCAATCTTCCATCTACCCCCCAAGTGTCTTCTCCGGTCTTCCGAGTAGACTCCCAGCATCACTCCCAGTTTCGGTCGTCAAGCTTTTCACCATTCAACAGGTTATGAGTCCAAGCACGATGTCCTCTGCTCATGATGCCACCACCAAGATCTCCATCGACAAGTTCGACGGCGACAACTACGCGACGTGGAGCCGCTACATGCGTGGCGTGTTCCTGACCAAGTCGGCGTGGCACGTGGTGAACCGGGAGACCACCCCCACCTTCGCCGATCCTCGCGCCAGTGACGACTACATCAAGACGAACAACATTGCGTTCGGCTTGATGCTGCTGCACATGAGCGCGGATTATCATCACGTGGTTGATGACTGTGAAGAGGCGTGGGTCGCGTGGGCGCGTTTGAAGACGCTGTACGGCGGGTCGCAGAAGGCTGAACGCATCTACTTGAAGCGCCAGCTGTTCAGCATGGAGATGGCGGAAGGCGGCAATGTGATGCATCATTGCAACGAAGTCCTCAACATCAGCGCGAAGCTCAGCAGCATCGGCGCCAAGATGGAGGACGAGGACGTGGCGATCTGCTTGTTGCGCAGCCTCCCCAAGAGCTACGAGCCGAACGTCGTTCTCAACTTGGAGATGAGCAGCGCGGAACTGCGATCGCGAGACGTCGTGAGAGTGCTCACGAATGAGCACATCAAGAGACAAGGTGACAAGACGACATCGGTGAAGACTGAAGACGCGGCGAAGGCGTTCAGTGCCGAGCGTGAACCTCGCCAGTGTACATACTGCGGAAAATTGGGGCACACGGCGGAGCGGTGCTGGACCAAGCAGAAGGACGAAAATCAAGGTGGAGCTCGACGCGGCGGCAACAATGCTCGTGGACGCGGAGCCAACAACGTTCAGTGGCGAACCAACAGCAACTACGATGACAACTACGATCGAGTTGCGTTCGCGGTTTCGCTGGAGGCTGGACTTTCGACGGGCAAGAATATGCCAGGGATGTGGGCAGTCGACAGCGGTGCGACGCATCACATCTGCAACGACAAGGCCAAGTTTGCAAGCCTGAATGAGCGAGAGGAAGGCGAGCTATCAGTGGCTGATGGCAGCAAGGCTGCGATCAAGGGTGTGGGAACCATCATGGAACGGGTGGTTCTGCCCAATGGTGACGAACTCGACATCGAGATCAAGGACGCACTGTTCGTACCAAGTATGAGCAAGAATCTGCTTTCGGTGCCACAGATCAACAAGGGTGGCAGGTTCCAAGTCGTGTTCGATGGATCCAAGATGCAAGTGAAGCGCAAGAATTCCACACAAGTCGTGGCAACAGCGGATCTCGTCGATGGACTTTACTGGCTGCGGACTCCTCAACGATCGGCAAATGCAGCAACACGCAATGGGACCATCGACTTGCATGCGCGCATGGGTCATGCACCCCTCGAAGTTCTGCGCAAGATGGTGGCCACTGGCATGATCAAGGACGCCAAGGCACCTCTCAACTCGACTGGTCCAAGTGTGTGTCGCGGTTGCCAGCAAGGAAAGATGGTTCAAAAACCATTCCCAACCAACCGTGACAAACGCCAATATGGTGTGTTCGAGTTGCTGCACTTCGACATCTGCGGGCCAATGGAACAAGTTTCGATCGGCGGCAGCAGATACTTACTGCTTGTGGTTGACGAAGCCAGCGGTTGCATGAAGGGCTTCTGTCTGCGGTCCAAGTCTGAGCGTGAAGACTGTATCAAGAACCACATCATCAAGATTCAAACACAGTTCGGCACGAAGATCAAGTTTTTTCGGCACGATGGAGCGCATGAGTTTGCGACCAACTCCATCAAGACCTTCTACGAAGATCATGGTATTGAACAACAGATCACGGTGCCGTATGCACACCAGACCAACGGCACCGCAGAACGCGCGATGAGGACCATCGTCACGATCGGACGCAGCTTGTTGCATCATGCAAAGCTGGAGAAGTGTTTCTGGGCTGAAGCGGCAATGACGGCGATCTACATCAAGAACCGCCTGCCTTCACCCAAGATCGACCACAAGACTCCGTTCGAGATCGTGTACAAGTCGAAACCAAGTGTCAAGCACATGCGCGTGTTTGGATGTCGGGCGTTTATCCTGACACCAAGGGAGAAGCGATTGAAGTGGGACCCGAAGGCTTGTGAAGGGATGTTCATGGGCTACGAAGAAGCGTCAAAAGCTTATCGAGTGTACGACATTGAGGCGGGCCAAGTGGTGATCAGTCGTGACTGTTGTAACTTGAGCGCGAGGCGAAGAGAAAACGAAGCGGAGAGACCGGAGAGAACAAAGCAGAGAACACTTGCTCACTTGAGGGAGGATTCGAAAGTGATTGATTTATAGGTCTTAACTTCTGCCTACCCTAGACTGCATCCAATCACATGGTGCATCTAATCAACCTGATTTACACGCGTCCAATCATCCTACGCGTCTAATCATCTCTGAGGTAATTACCGATGTAAAAACTATCTCGTAAGAACTACGCGCTAGGTTCGGATTGTACCGGTAACCCTCAATACGCCCCCTCAATCCGAACACGCACGGATGCCAAGCGCCGCCGTCAAGTCCTTGTGACGCGGTCCGTGAAGTCCCTTCGTCATGATGTCCGCCAACATCAACGTTGTCTCGCAGTATTCAAGCTTCACTTCGCCGCGCTTGACTTCATCACGGATGTGATGGTACTTGATGTCGATGTGTTTAGCGCGGCCGTGGTTGACCGGATTCTTCGTCATCTTGATGCACGACTGGTTGTCTTCACGGATGACGAGCTCGGGTCCTTCTTCGTTTGCAGCCGCCATGATCTCGCACAGCAAGCGATTGATCCACTTGCCTTCTTGGATCGCCAGGCTGAGCTCGATGTACTCTGCTTCGCTTGTAGACAGTGACACACTTGGCTGTTTCTTGCTGCCCCAACTCACCGGAGCACCCAATAGCATGAAGACGTAGCCGGACGTCGATTTGCGATCAGCAAGGTCACCGGCCCAGTCTGCATCTGAATAGCCACGAAAGTCGATCTTCGCACTTGGCTTGTAGCAGATTCCATGCATCTTGGTGCCTTGTAGGTAGCGGAAGATGCGCTTGACTGCAACCCAGTGTTCTTCTTGGGGTTTCTCCATGAACCGTGACACAAAGCTTACAGCATAGGCGATGTCCGGTCGCGTTGCAGTCGTCAGATGCATCAAAGCACCCACTGCTTCACGGAATGGGACATCCACCTTGCTTGCAGAGTTGCTTGGAACCAGTCGAGAGCTGACGTCCACCGGACTTGCCACAGCCTTGCACTCATCCATTCCAAAGCGCTTGAGGACATCGTCGACATAACGGCGCTGACACATAGTCACGCTGCCATCTTCACCGTCCAATAACTCGATCCCAAGAACAAAGGCACACTTGCCGCTGTCCGTCATCTCGAAGCGTGTCTTGAGGTCGTTCTTGGTGCGCGCAATCATCTCGAGCGAGCTTCCAGTCACCAAGACATCGTCCACGTAGACCAGCACAAAAACACAATGGCCTTCCGAAGTCATGATGTAGAGACATGGATCGAATCCCGACGCTTGAAAACCAATCGAGCGTATGAACTCGTCGAAGGTCTCGTTCCAAACACGCGAGGCTTGCTTGAGACCGTAGATCGCCTTGATCAGCTCGAGACAGTCGAAATCACCTTCCATCTTGACGCCTTCCGGAACAGCGCAGAACACCTTCTCCTTCATCACTCCATACAGGAACGCAGTCACCACATCGAGCTGGTCGAGGGGCCATCCAAAGTGCTTGGTAATGGCGATGACCATTCGCAGCGTCACATACTTGACCACGGGCGAGAACGTCTCCGTGTAGTCAATGCCATACTTTTGGCGAAAACCCTTGGCCACAAGTCGTGCCTTGTATTTCTCGATCGACCCATCCGCCTTGCGCTTGATCTTGAAGACCCACTTTGTGCCAATGGCGCTTTGTCCGTTGGGTAACTTGGCCGCACGAAAGACACCGCGAAGCTTCATCGAATCGAGCTCCGCATCAATTGCCTTGCGCCAGTGTATTTGGTCCGGGCCAGATACTGCTTCTTCAAATGTCGACGGCTCCGAAAAATCGACCGCTGCTTCGACGGCGTTTGCACTCGCATGCCAAAACGCGGAGGAAGTCGGTGTGTCATGTTGTTCCTCCGACTTCCTTTCTTCATCTTCGTTGGCTCGACGTGAAGAGAGGTCATCCGGCGCACTTGACTCTTCCAATCCGGGTCGTTGGCGCACTGCTCGGGGCATGCTTGCGTCGTCATTGTCGTGACTGGGTTGGGCCTTGCGCTTTCCTGTTTGTTTGAAGTGTCTCGGACGCGGTTCTTCATCATCAAGATCGATCGATTCGAAGTCCAGGCCATCAACATCGTCATCGGAAATCAGCATCGACATTCCAAAGGCCGACTCATCGAAGTTGACATCGCGACTTATCATCACCTGCCCCGCTTCGATGTCGTAAACTCGATACGCCTTGGACACTTCTTCGTAGCCCAAAAACAATCCAGCCCGGGCCTTGGGATCCCACTTGAGTCGTTTCTCCTTCGGGGTCAAGATGTATGCTTGGCACCCAAAAACGCGCATGTGCTTGACACTTGGCTTAGAATTGTAGACAATCTCGAACGGTGTCTTGTGTGGAATCTTGGGTGACGGCAAACGGTTCTTCACATAGACGGCCGTCATTGCCGCTTCAGCCCAGAAGCACTTGTCCAACTTGGCATGATGGAGCATGCTACGACCGATGGTGACGATAGTTCGAATCGCGCGTTCAGCAGTTCCATTGGCTTGATGTGCGTATGGCACCGTGGTTTGTTGCTCGATGCCTTCGACTTCGTAGAAATCTTGAAGCGAGTTCGTCGCAAACTCGCGGGCTCCATCGTGTCGCACAAATTTGACCTTCTTGTTGAACTGCGTCTGTATCATCGTGATGTACTTCTTGATGCTCTCTTCGCTCTCTGACTTGGAATGCAGACAAAAACCCTTCATGCATCCGCTGGCTTCATCCACGATCAGCAGCAGATACTTGCTGCCACCCAGAGATTTTTCTTCCATGGGTCCGCAGATGTCGAAGTGGAGCATCTCGAAGGTGTTGTAGGTGCGCTTGTCACTGTTGCTCGGGAATGGTTTTTGGACCATCTTCCCTTCTTGGCATCCTCGACACACACTTGATCCATCCGGCTTGGAAGGGATGTGAGCGTCCTTGATCATGTGGCTTGTCACCATCCTGCGAAGCACGTCGACTGGAGCATGGCCCATTCGCGCATGTAGATCAACAGCGTTGCTGAGTGATGTCGCATTGGCCGATCGCTGCGTCGTGCGAAGCCAGTAGAGTCCGTCTACAAGATCCGCAGCTGCCACCACTTGATTGGAATCCTTGCGAGCGACGTACATCGTATCCCCGTCAAACACCACTTGGAAGTTGCCGTGCTTGTTAATCTGCGGCACCGAGAGCAGATTTTTGCTCATGCTGGGCACATAGAGCGCGTTCTTGATCTCGATCTCGCGCTCTTCCCCGTTTGGCAGAATCACCTTTTCCACGATGGTCCCCACACCTTTGATGGCCACCTTGTTGCCATCAGCCACCAAGAGTTCGCCCTCATTGCCTTCGACCAAGCTTGGAAACTTGAACTTGTCGTGGCAAATGTGATGTGTTGCCCCGCTGTCAACGGCCCACATTCCTGGTCCATTCTTGTTCGTCGAAACTCCGCATTCGAACGAGACTGCAAACGCCACTCGATCGTAGCTGTTGCCTTCATCATGATGTCCCCACTGGACATTGTTTGCCCCGCGTCCACGACCATTGCCGCCGCGTTGGGCTCCTCGACTTTCATCCTTTTGCTTCGTCCAGCAACGCTCTACCGTGTGCCCCACCTTGCCGCAGTATGTGCATTGGTAGGGCTTGCGCTCGGTACTGAATGCCTTTGTCGCATCTTCAGTCTTCACCGTTGTCGTTGCCGTTGTCATCTTCTCGCCTTGTCGCTTGATGTGCTCGTTAGTCAGCACCTTGACCACATCTTGCGTGCGCAGCTCTGCATTGCTCATCTCCAAGTTCAGAACCACGTTCTCGAAACTCTTCGGGAGACTGAGCAGCAAGCAGATCGCAATGTCTTCGTCTTCCATCTTGGCACCGATGCTGCTGAGCTTGGCGCCGATGTTCAAGACTTCGTTGCAATGGTGCAAGACGTTGGCACCTTCCGCCATCTTGATGCTGAACAGCTGGCGCTTGAGGTAGATGCGTCCCGCCTTCTGCGACCCACCATAGAGCATCTTCAACCGCGACCACGCTGTCCATGCTTCTTCACAGTTGTCGACCACATGGTGGTAGTCGGCGTCCATGTGGAGCAACATCAACCCGAACGCGATGTTGCTCGCCTTGACGTACTCGTCGGAAGCTCGCGTGTCGGTGAAGGTTGGAGACGTTTCGCGGTTCACGACGTACCAGACTGACTTCGTCAGAAACACGCCGCGCATGTAGCGACACCAGGTTGAGTAGTTGTCCCCATCGAACTTATCGATGGAGACACTGGCCGAGGTGTTGTTGGACGACATGGCGCTTGGGCTCATAACCTGTTGTAACTTGAGCGCGAGGCGAAGAGAAAACGAAGCGGAGAGACCGGAGAGAACGAAGCAGAGAACACTTGCTCACTTGAGGGAGGATTCGAAAGTGATTGATTTATAGGTCTTAACTTCTGCCTACCCTAGACTGCATCCAATCACATGGTGCATCTAATCAACCTGATTTACACGCGTCCAATCATCCTACGCGTCTAATCATCTCTGAGGTAATTACCGATGTAAAAACTATCTCGTAAGAACTACGCGCTAGGTTCGGATTGTACCGGTAACCCTCAATAGTGACATCACATTCGACGAATCGACTTTTGACTTTTCGATGGACCGACCAAGTGACGATGATGAAGATGCGGAGTTGGACCTCGACCTCCTGGCGATCAACGAGGACGACGTGCGTCAAACCGTCTACAATCAGACTGGCAAGCGCAAGAGTGAAGCAAGACCCGGCATGTCACGGTCAGCTCGCCCTCGAACTGGGTTGGAACAAGCAAGTGCGCCGGAACACGTCTCCAACCGTCACCAGAAACGACGATCAAGTGCTCCAGAAACGATGTCTGATGACGAAGAAGATGCAAGCGTGTACGATCAAGATGACGACTTGACGCCTCCAACATTTTGGCGTGCAAGTGCAAACGCAGTGGAAGCAACGGACCTAGCAGAACCTGTGACTTTTCAAGACGCGATCAATGGTCCTGATCAAACTCACTGGCGAAATGCTGTGAAGGCGGAACTCAAGTCGATGCATCTTCGTGGAGTTTTCCGTGCGGCAAAACTGCCAAGAGGCCAAGGCGCGATCGGCACCAAGTGGGTGTTCAAGATCAAGCGCAAAGCGGATGGATCGGTCGAGAAATACAAGGCGCGTCTCGTTGCCAAGGGCTTCAAGCAGAAGTACGGCATCGACTACACAGAGACGTTCTCGCCCGTGGTCAAGTACGTGACACTGCGTATGGTGATCGCGATCACCAAGTATTTCGACTGGCCACTGGACCAACTCGATGTGGTGACAGCCTTTCTCTACGGAGTGATGAAGGAGAAGGTGTACTGCGTGATACCAGAAGGCGTCGAGATGGATGGCGACTTCGACTGTCTCGAGTTGGTGAAGGCGATCTACGGTCTCAAGCAAGCTTCACGTGTGTGGAACGAGACTTTCGACGAGTTCGTATGCTTTATCGGTTTCGAAGCGTCGGCGTTCGACCCATGTCTCTACATCAAGGTTGTCGACGGTCACTGTGTGCTCGTGCTGGTCTACGTGGATGACGTGTTGGTAACCGGCAGCTCGCTCGAGTTGATTGCGCAGACGAAGGCCGACCTCAAGACGCGTTTCGAGATGACCGACAGTGGCAAGTGTACTTTTGTACTGGGCATCGAACTGGTGGACGAATCGGATGGCAGCGTGACAATGTGCCAGCGACGGTATGTCAACGACATCCTCAAGCGCTTCGGCATGGATGAGTGCAAGGCCACAGCAAGTCCGGTCGACTTGAGCACTCGGCTTGTCGCAAGCACCGAAGCGGCCAAGATCGACGTTCCGTTTCGTGAAGCTGTGGGAGCTTTGATGCACTTGACGACTGCGACGCGCCCGGACATTGCGTATGCTGTGGGGTACGTCTCGCGCTTCATGGAGAATCCGCAGCAAGAACATTGGACGGCGGTGAAGCGCATCTTTCGTTACTTGCAAGGGACCAAGTCGCACGGAATCCGCTTCCAGCCAAGCGACAAGATCGACTTTCGTGGCTACTCGGACGCGGACTGGGCCGGCGACCACGCTGATCGCAAGTCGACTTCGGGTTACACTTTCATGCTGATGGGTGCTCCTGTGAGTTGGGGAAGCAAGAAGCAGTCAAGTGTGTCGCTGTCGACGAGTGAAGCGGAATACATCGCACTGAGTCTGGCCATCCAGGAAGGCAAGTGGGTGCATCGCCTGCTATGCGAGATTTTGGCGGCCGCAACGAACCAGGACCGGACCTCGTCATCCGTGAAGACAACCAGTCCTGCATCAAGATGACAAAGAATCCGGTGAATCATGGCCACGCCAAGCACATCGACATCAAGTACCATCACATCCGTGATGAGGTCAAGCGCGGGGAAGTGCAGCTCGAGTATTGCGAGACTTCCGTGATGATGGCGGACATCATGACCAAGGGACTTTCGGGACCTCGTCACAAGGACTTGACGACGGCTCTCGGCATTCGTGCGAGTTCGGATTGAGGGGGCGTGTTGACGGTCATCGGTTTCTACCAGTATTGGTAACCGTGACCGGTCCAATCCGAACCGCCTGTTCAGCTTAGTATTTACGACGTAGTTCTTACGGTAATTACCATAGTTGATTAGACGCGTAGGATGATGAGACGCTTCACATGATTTATATGTGCACCACATATAAATCATGTAGTAAGTAGTAAGCCCCGATAATCAATCACTTTCGAATCTTCCATCTATCCGGCAAGTGTTTTCTTCTCCGGTCTTCCGGTGACTCCCAGCATCACTCCCAGTTTCGGTCGCTCAAGCTTTCCTCCACCATTCAACAAATGCCTCTCATTTCCATGTTGAGCACCACATTTTCGTAGCTCTTCGGAAGACTGAGTAGCAGACAAATTGCAACGTCTTCGTCTTCCATCTTCGCACCGATGCTGCTAAGCTTGGCGGAGATGTTGAGGACCTCGTTGCAGTGATGCATGACGTTCGCGCCTTCAGCCATCTTGATACTGAAAAGTTGTCGCTTGAGGTAGATGCGTCCTGCCTTCTGCGACCCACCGTACAGCGTCTTCAGACTTGTCCACGCAACCCAGGCTTCCTCGCAGTTGTCCAGCACATGATGGTAGTCCGCGTTCATGTGCAGCAGCATCATACCAAACGCGACGTTGCTTGTCTTGACGTAGTCATCGGACGCTCGCGGGTCGGTGAAAGTCGGAGTCACTTCACGGTTGACAACGTGCCAGATGGACTTCGTCAAAAACACACCGCGCATGTACCGGCTCCACGTTGCGTAATTGTCTCCGTTGAACTTGTCAATGGAGGCGTTGCTGGTGGACGACATGGCGCTTGGGCTCATAACCTGTTGCATTGTAGATCGGAGCGAGGAAAGCGGAGCAAACGGAGCGGAGAGACCGAAGAGAGTAGAGCAGAAAACACTTGCCCAATAGTTGGAAGATTCGAAAGTGATTGATTATCGGGGCTTACTACTTACTACATGATTTATATGTGGTGTACATATAAATCATGTGAAGCGTCTCATCATCCTACGCGTCTAATCAACTATGGTAATTACCGTAAGAACTACGTCGTAAATACTAAGCTGAACAGGCGGTTCGGATTGGATCGGTCACGGTTACCAATACTGGTAGAAAACCGATGACCGTCAACACTGCCATGATGTACTTCTTGATGCACTCTTCGCTGTCGGACTTGGCGCGCAGACTGAAATCCTTCAAACATCCGCTACCTTCATCGACGATCAGTAGCAAGTACTTGCTTCCATTTAGCGAGTCGACTTCCATTGGACCACAATCGTCGATGTGTAGAAGCTCAAATGGATCGTAGTGAATCTTGTTTGGATTGCTTGGGAACGGTCGTTGAACCATTTTTACTTCTAGGCAACCCTGACACACGCTTGATCCGCTCAATTTTGTTGGCATATTGGCATCCTTGACCATGCCCTTGGAGACCATCCTGCACAAGACATCAACCGGTGCGTGGCCCATACGCGCATGAAGGTTTTCGGCTCTTGGTCCTGAAGCCGCATTCACGGATCGTTGGGATGTACGAAGCCAGTAGAGGCCATCCATGTTGCATTGTAGATCGGAGCGAGGAAAGCGGAGCAAACGGAGCGGAGAGACCGAAGAGAGTAGAGCAGAAAACACTTGCCCAATAGTTGGAAGATTCGAAAGTGATTGATTATCGGGGCTTACTACTTACTACATGATTTATATGTGGTGTGCATATAAATCATGTGTAGCGTCTCATCATCCTACGCGTCTAATCAACTATGGTAATTACCGTAAGAACTACGTCGTAAATACTAAGCTGAACAGGCGGTTCGGATTGGATCGGTCACGGTTACCAACACTGGTAGAAAACCGATGACCGTCAACACGCCCCCTCAATCCGAATGCTCACGAATCCCGAGAGCCGTCGTCATCTCCTTGTGGCGTGGTCCATGAAGTCCCTTCGTCATGATGTCCGCTAACATCACCGCAGTTTCACAGTACTTGAGCTTCACTTCACCGCGCTTGACCTCATCACGGATGTGATGGTACTTGATATCAATGTGCTTGGCACGGCCGTGGTTGACCGGGTTCTTCGTCATCTTGATGCATGACTGATTGTCTTCATGAATCATGAGTTCCGGTCCTTCTTCATTGGCAGCCATCACGATCTCACAAAGCAGACGATGAATCCACTTGCCCTCTTGAATCGCCAAGCTGAGTGCGATGTATTCAGCTTCACTCGTGGACAACGAAACACTTGGCTGCTTCTTGCTGCCCCAACTGACTGGCGCACCGAGTAGCATGAACGTGTACCCCGATGTTGACTTGCGGTCGGTAAGATCACCAGCCCAATCCGCATCCGAATATCCACGGAAGTCGATCCTTGCACTTGGCTTGTAGCAAATTCCATGCGTCTTGGTGCCTTGTAGGTAGCGAAAGATACGCTTAACTGCAACCCAGTGTTCTTCTTGGGGATTTTCCATGAACCGCGATACATAGCCCACAGCAAACGCAATGTCCGGACGCGTTGCAGTGGTCAGGTGCATCAACGCACCAACAGCTTCGCGAAAAGGAGCATCGACCTTGGTAGTTGCATCACTTGAAACAAGTCGAGAGCTCATGTCGACTGGACTTGCGACTGCCTTGCAATCATCCATGCCAAAGCGCTTGAGGATATCATCGACATACCGACGCTGACATAGTGTCACACTGCCATTTTCACCGTCCAAAAGCTCGATCCCAAGAACAAACGCACACTTGCCGCTGTCCGTCACTTCAAACCGCGTCTTCAGGTCGTTCTTGGTTTGTGCAATCAGCTCGAGCGAGCTTCCAGTCACCAAGACGTCGTCCACGTAGACTGATGAACTTTAGACTTCTTGGTCCGAGTGCAAAACGCAAAGTGAATATATATTTATAATAGGTACTTAGTTCGCAACTTTGAATACTACCTCTAAGCCTATTATTCGCAGTGACGTCATCCAGTGACGTCACCCACTGACGTCACCCACTGACGTCATGCAATGACGTCATCCAGTGACGTCATTTCCTGACTTCGCCCTTACTGGTACATACCGGTACCCACCGGTATAGCGAAGCTTGGTCTTCCACTTGCTTCAACACTTGACGCAGCTTGACGAGGTGTCTTCTTCACAGCCGCTGTCTTTTCAACACTCCCCTCTCGACTCGTTAGCTGCGGCACCTTGGATCCCAAGTCGATCGCGAATGTTTTCAAATTGTACAGCGGCGATCGGCTTGGTCATCATGTCTGCCAGCATATCTTGAGTCGGGCAATACTCCAAAACGACTTCACCTGATTCCACCTTCTCACGCACAAAATGGTAGCGTATGTCGATGTGTTTTGTTCTCTTATGGAACTCCGGGTTCTTGGCGAGAGCGATTGATCCTTGGTTGTCTTCATACATCTTGATCGCTTCGTCGCTTGTCATCTCACCAAGTTCCCCCAAAAGCACTTTGAGCCATACTGCTTCTTTGGTTGCTTCGGAAAGCGCCATGTATTCTGCTTCTGTTGAAGATAGCGCGACCGTCCGTTGTTTCTGGCTTTTCCAGCTGATGCATCCTCCGCTCATCATGAACACATAGCCGCTTGTACTTCGTCTTGACTCAATGTCGCCGGCCCAGTCTGCGTCGGCGTACCCGCAGATACGGCTTCCTTCTTCACGTGTAAACTCAAGACCATGATTGGGCGTTGCTTGCAGGTATCTCAGCACACGCTTCAAAGCTTGCCAGTGAGTCGGGCATGGGTCGGACGAGAACTGGGATAATGATCCCACTGCAGCAGCTAGATCCGGACGTGTGGCGACCATGAGATACATGATGCCTCCGACAGCACTTCGATATGGCACGTTGCACATGGTGTCTTCGTGCTTGCATTCTTGTTCACACATGTTCTTGGTTAGCTTCAGGCCGGGATCTTGAGGCGTCTTCACTGGCTTGCTGTTATCCATTCCGAACTTGGTTAACACGGACTTGAGAAACTTGGTTTGTTGTACAGTCACCATTCCCGTCTTACGGTCGTTCTTGATCTCCATGCCGAGAAAGTAATCGAGCTCACCGAGATCCGTCATTTCGAAGCGTTTGCTCAGCGCCATCTTGGTTGACTTGAGGAGTTCGTTGTTGCTGCTGGCCAGGATGAGATCATCGACGTAGAGCACCACGAGAATCATGTCTTGGTCGTCTCGCTTGATGTAGATGCAGTGGTCCGATTCGCACTTCTTGAATCCCCATCTTGATCATGAACCCATCGATTGTTTGGTTCCACATGCGAGGCGATTGCTTCAAGCCGTAGAGTGATCTCTTTAGCTTGCACACATAGTCCGGCTGTGTTGCATCCAGGTATCCGTCCGGCTGGTCCATGTAGATGTCTTCGTTGAGGGAGCCGTTAAGAAACGCTGTCTTGACGTCCATCTGATGTAGCATTAGGCCGTACTTAGCCGCCATACTGAGCACCACACGAATCGATGTGAACTTGGCCACCGGTGCGAAAGTTTCTTCATAGTCAACTCCGAATTTCTGTGAGAATCCTTTGGCCACAAGTCTTGCCTTGAAACGTTCAACTTCGCCATCTTGATTCTCCTTTACACGAAAACCCATCGGCACCCGATGGCCTTGCGACCTTTCGGAAGAGGCACGATTTCCCACGTGTCGTTTCTCTGAAGCGAATCGAACTCCGAGTCACACGCTTCTTTCCACTTGCCGGAGTCGCTTGATTCCATCGCCGACTTGAATGTAGTCGGCGTTTCCCCACTGAATCAACGATGTAGGCTGCTTCAAAATCCATTGCAGCCGCTGACACATGCTCAAGCGACGGACCTCTGTATGTTCTTCGCTTGGGACTTGGAATGACGGTAGCTTTCTCAAGTGATTGAGTGCGCGTGTGTCTCTTGATGTTGCTCTTCGAAGACCTGGTGTCTTCGTTGTCATCGTCGCTCGAGTCCATGTCGTCGTCAGTTTTACCTTCTTCTTTTTCTTCGTCCTCATCATGATCATCAAACTCAACGACACTTGACTCATCGTTGTAGTTGCGCGGACCTTCATCAAACTTGTCTTCCATGAATGTGGCATCGCGACTGATCTTGATCGCTCCTGTTGACACTTCCTCAAATCGATATGACTTCTGGTGTTCGGCGTATCCCAGGAAACGACAGAGTGATGACTTGGAGTCGAACTTCGCGCGTTTGTCTTGAGGCACTTGAACATACGCGTGGCATCCAAACACTTTAAGGTTGGCCAGAATCGGTTTCTTCATCGTCCACACTTGATATGGAGACTTGTCTTGGTGAATGGCACGTGTTGGACAGCGGTTTCGAAGAAACATCGCCGTCATCACTGCTTCACCCCAGTAGCTCTTTCCCAGTCCAGCGTGTTCCATCATGCAACGCGCACACTCGACCAGCGTGCGATTCATTCTCTCAGCTACTCCGTTTAGCTGAGGAGTATATGGGGGTGTGAACCTTTGTTGTATTCCCCGTTCCGCGCAGAATCGTGCCAGCTTGTCGGACTTGTATTCACCCCCATTGTCGCTTTGAAGGTACTTCACGCGCTTTCCGGTTTGCGTTTCGGCCATCGCAGCGTATTCCATGAACTTCGCCGCAACTTCAGATTTGCTCTTGAGCAGATAGACGACACAGTATCTTGACTTGTCATCGATGAATGTCACGAAGTACCGTTTTCCACTGAAAGTTGCCATCGACATCGGTCCGCATACGTCACTGTGAATCACTTCGAGGAGTTTGGAGGTGCGAGCTGTATTGTTTGATTGGAAGCGCACTCGAGTCTGTTTTCCCAGAGCACAACCTTCACACACGTCCCACTTCTTCACCGAAGATATGTCGATGCCAATTCCAATGTTCTTCGTCACGATGCAATTGAGTCCATCATGACCTATGTGGCCAAGCCGAAGGTGCCAGAGGTACGACTTGGTGCCCCCTTGACATCCCGACGACTTGGCTGCATTTGCTTGTTCCGGCGCCACTGGAGTCATTTGCAGCTTGAACAGTTCTTTACCTTCACGGGCACCAATTTTCCACTTAGTCCCTTTCGCTTCTCCATAGCACCCATCCTTCGTGAACGTCACTGGGCCGACATCCTTGGTGAAGCGGCCGACCGAGAACAGGTTTCTGGATAACTTTGGGATGTGCCACACGTTTGTGAGCACACCTTTCTTCATCCCTTGGGGTGTCTTCATCGACATGACAATGTCCCCACTGCCGATTGCTTGGACGATTCCATCATCCGCGAGATGGACATCCACAGCGTCAAACCCCTTGTAGTTCCGCATGAACTTCTTGGAGCACGTCATGTGCTGCGTCGCCCCGGAGTCGACCAGCCAGATGTCGCTCGATTTCGCAGATGTCGTTTCACCGATCGAAAAGAGGTAGTCGCCCGAGTCTTCTTCTTGAGCGACGTTTGCACGTTGTGATCGATAGCGGTCGCCGCTGTCTTGAGCACGCTGTGGCCGGTGTCTCTCCGTGTTTTCTTGGATGCGCGAGGGACACTCCGCCATCCAGTGACCAATCTTTCCGCAATTGTGGCACGGCCAGGACTTCTTCACTGGTCGCCCTTTGCGCTGATTGTCCCTTGTGATGAACGCTTGACCTTGCGAAGCTTCATCACCTTTACTTCCTTGCTCCTTCCGCTTCATTTCTTCATGAAGCAGTCGAGACGTCACGAGCTCCCAGCTAAGAGTGTCTGAGCGCGACTCCAAAGCTGTGATCAAGAATTGATACGAGTCACTCAGGCTGCCGAGGAGTGTGATCACCAGATCGTCCTCGCAGACTGGAGCCCCCACCGCTTCTAGCTGTTCCGCCAGCGTCTTGAGCTTGTTGATGTGTTCGAGCACATCGTCGCCTTCTTCCATCATTGTCGTGAAGAAGCGACGGCGCAAGAACAGCTTGTTGGCAAGACTCTTCTTCTCGAAGTGGTCTTCCAACCTTGACCATGCGTCGCATGCACCACTTGCCGACCGGACCAACGGTAGCTGGGAATCTTCCATGGCTAGACAGATCACTGCCATCGCCTTTCTTGACTTCCTCTTGTACGTCGCTTGGTCCAACTGAGTCTCGCACTGTTCCGCCTTGATCTCACCGCTGACGACCTCCCATAGGTCCCGTTCCTCCAGCACCATCTGCATCTTGAACTTCCAGGCGTGGAAGTTAGTTCCATCGAACTTGGAGATGCGGAGGGAGGAGGCGTCCATGGCAGCTAAGCTTGAATTGTTGGCGGTTTCAGAGTCTGACGAACTTGGGCTCATAACCTGATGAACTTTAGACTTCTTGGTCCGAGTGCAAAACGCAAAGTGAATATATATTTATAATAGGTACTTAGTTTGCAACTTTGAATACTACCTCTAAGCCTATTATTCGCAGTGACGTCATCCAGTGACGTCACCCACTGACGTCACCCACTGACGTCATGCAATGACGTCATCCAGTGACGTCATTTCCTGACTTCGCCCTTACTGGTACATACCGGTACCCACCGGTATAGCGAAGCTTGGTCTTCCACTTGCTTCAACACTTGACGCAGCTTGACGAGGTGTCTTCTTCACAGCCGCTGTCTTTTCAACATAGACCAGTATAAACACGCAATGGCCGTCCGAAGTCTTGATGTAGAGACATGGGTCGAAGTCCGATACTTGAAATCCGATGGAGCACACATACTCGTCGAACGTCTCGTTCCACACTCGCGAAGCTTGCTTGAGGCCGTAAATTGACTCCACCAATTCCAGGCAGTCGTACGTACTGTCAAGTTCGACGCCTTCATGTTGCAATGTAGATCGGAGCGAGGAAAGCGGAGCAAACGGAGCGGAGAGACCGAAGAGAGTAGAGCAGAAAACACTTGCCCAATAGTTGGAAGATTCGAAAGTGATTGATTATCGGGGCTTACTACTTACTACATGATTTATATGTGGTGTGCATATAAATCATGTGTAGCGTCTCATCATCCTACGCGTCTAATCAACTATGGTAATTACCGTAAGAACTACGTCGTAAATACTAAGCTGAACAGGCGGTTCGGATTGGATCGGTCACGGTTACCAATACTGGTAGAAAACCGATGACCGTCAACACGCCCCCTCAATCCGAATGCTCACGAATCCCGAGAGTTGCCGTCATCTCCTTGTGGCGTGGCCCGTGAAGTCCCTTCGTCATGATGTCCGCTAACATCACCGCAGTTTCACAGTACTTGAGCTTCACTTCACCGCGCTTGACCTCATCACGGATGTGATGGTACTTGATATCAATGTGCTTGGCACGGCCGTGGTTGACCGGGTTCTTCGTCATCTTGATGCATGACTGATTGTCTTCATGAATCATGAGTTCCGGTCCTTCTTCATTGGCAGCCATCACGATCTCACAAAGCAGACGATGAATCCACTTGCCCTCTTGAATCGCCAAGCTGAGTGCGATGTATTCAGCTTCACTCGTGGACAACGAAACACTTGGCTGCTTCTTGCTGCCCCAACTCACTGGCGCACCGAGTAGCATGAACGTGTACCCCGATGTTGACTTGCGGTCGGTAAGATCACCAGCCCAATCCGCATCCGAATATCCACGGAAGTCGATCCTTGCACTTGGCTTGTAGCAAATTCCATGCGTCTTGGTGCCTTGTAGGTAGCGAAAGATACGCTTAACTGCAACCCAGTGTTCTTCTTGGGGATTTTCCATGAACCGCGATACATAGCCCACAGCAAACGCAATGTCCGGACGCGTTGCAGTGGTCAGGTGGATCAACGCACCAACAGCTTCGCGAAAAGGAGCATCGACCTTGGTAGTTGCATCACTTGAAACAAGTCGAGAGCTCATGTCGACTGGACTTGCGACTGCCTTGCAATCATCCATGCCAAAGCGCTTGAGGATATCATCGACATACCGACGCTGACATAGTGTCACACTGCCATTTTCACCGTCCAAAAGCTCGATCCTAAGAACAAACGCACACTTGCCGCTGTCCGTCATTTCGAACCGCGTCTTCAGGTCGTTCTTGGTTTGTGCAATCAGCTCGAGCGAGCTTCCAGTCACCAAGACGTCGTCCACGTAGACCAGTATAAACACGCAATGGCCGTCCGAAGTCTTGATGTAGAGACATGGGCCGAAGTCCGATACTTGAAATCCGATGGAGCACACATACTCGTCGAACGTCTCGTTCCACACTCGCGAAGCTTGCTTGAGGCCGTAAATTGACTCCACCAATTCCAGGCAGTCGTACGTACTGTCAAGTTCGACGCCTTCATGTTGCAATGTAGATCGGAGCGAGGAAAGCGGAGCAAACGGAGCGGAGAGACCGAAGAGAGTAGAGCAGAAAACACTTGCCCAATAGTTGGAAGATTCGAAAGTGATTGATTATCGGGGCTTACTACTTACTACATGATTTATATGTGGTGTACATATAAATCATGTGAAGCGTCTCATCATCCTACGCGTCTAATCAACTATGGTAATTACCGTAAGAACTACGTCGTAAATACTAAGCTGAACAGGCGGTTCGGATTGGATCGGTCACGGTTACCAATACTGGTAGAAAACCGATGACCGTCAACACGCCCCCTCAATCCGAATGCTCACGAATCCCGAGAGTTGCCGTCATCTCCTTGTGGCGTGGCCCGTGAAGTCCCTTCGTCATGATGTCCGCTAACATCACCGCAGTTTCACAGTACTTGAGCTTCACTTCACCGCGCTTGACCTCATCACGGATGTGATGGTACTTGATATCACTGTGCTTGGCACGGCCGTGGTTGACTGGGTTCTTCGTCATCTTGATACATGACTGATTGTCTTCATGAATCATGAGTTCCGGTCCTTCTTCATTGGCAGCCATCACGATCTCACAAAGCAGACGATGAATCCACTTGCCCTCTTGAATCGCCAAGCTGAGTGCGATGTATTCGGCTTCACTCGTGGACAACGAAACACTTGGCTGCTTCTTGCTGCCCCAACTCACTGGCGCACCGAGTAGCATGAACGTGTACCCCGATGTTGACTTGCGGTCGGTAAGATCACCAGCCCAATCCGCATCCGAATATCCACGGAAGTCGATCCTTGCACTTGGCTTGTAGCAAATTCCATGCGTCTTGGTGCCTTGTAGGTAGCGAAAGATACGCTTAACTGCAACCCAGTGTTCTTCTTGGGGATTTTCCATGAACCGCGATACATAGCCCACAGCAAACGCAATGTCCGGACGCGTTGCAGTGGTCAGGTGCATCAACGCACCAACAGCTTCGCGAAAAGGAGCATCGACCTTGGTAGTTGCATCACTTGAAACAAGTCGAGAGCTCATGTCGACTGGACTTGCGACTGCCTTGCAATCATCCATGCCAAAGCGCTTGAGGATATCATCGACACACCTGATGAACTTTAGACTTCTTGGTCCGAGTGCAAAACGCAAAGTGAATATATATTTATAATAGGTACTTAGTTCGCAACTTTGAATACTACCTCTAAGCCTATTATTCGCAGTGACGTCATCCAGTGACGTCACCCACTGACGTCACCCACTGACGTCATGCAATGACGTCATCCAGTGACGTCATTTCCTGACTTCGCCCTTACTGGTACATACCGGTACCCACCGGTATAGCGAAGCTTGGTCTTCCACTTGCTTCAACACTTGACGCAGCTTGACGAGGTGTCTTCTTCACAGCCGCTGTCTTTTCAACACTCCCTCTCGACTCGTTAGCTGCGGCACCTTGGATCCCAAGTCGATCGCGAATGTTTTCAAATTGTACAGCGGCGATCGTCTTGGTCGTCATATTCTGCCAGCATATCTTGAGTCGGGCAATACTCCAAAACGACTTCACCTGATTCCACCTTCTCACGCACAAAATGGTAGCGTATGTCGATGTGTTTTGTTCTCTTATGGAACTCCGGGTTCTTGGCGAGAGCGATTGATCCTTGGTTGTCTTCATACATCTTGATCGCTTCGTCGCTTGTCATCTCACCAAGTTCCCCAAAAGCACTTTGAGCCATACTGCTTCTTTGGTTGCTTCGGAAAGCGCCATGTATTCTGCTTCTGTTGAAGATAGCGCGACCGTCCGTTGTTTCTGGCTTTTCCAGCTGATGCATCCTCCGCTCATCATGAACACATATCCGCTTGTACTTCGTCTTGACTCAATGTCGCCGGCCCAGTCTGCGTCGGTGTACCCGCAGATACGGCTTCCTTCTTCACGTGTAAACTCAAGACCATGATTGGGCGTTGCTTGCAGGTATCTCAGCACACGCTTCAAAGCTTGCCAGTGAGTCGGGCATGGGTCGGACGAGAACTGGGATAATGATCCCACTGCAGCAGCTAGATCCGGACGTGTGGCGACCATGAGATACATGATGCCTCCGACAGCACTTCGATATGGCACGTTGCACATGGTGTCTTCGTGCTTGCATTCTTGTTCACACATGTTCTTGGTTAGCTTCAGGCCGGGATCTTGAGGCGTCTTCACTGGCTTGCTGTTATCCATTCCGAACTTGGTTAACACGGACTTGAGAAACTTGGTTTGTTGTACAGTCACCATTCCCGTCTTACGGTCGTTCTTGATCTCCATGCCGAGAAAGTAATCGAGCTCACCGAGATCCGTCATTTCGAAGCGTTTGCTCAGCGCCATCTTGGTTGACTTGAGGAGTTCGTTGTTGCTGCTGGCCAGGATGAGATCATCGACGTAGAGCACCACGAGAATCATGTCTTGGTCGTCTCGCTTGATGTAGATGCAGTGGTCCGATTCGCACTTCTTGAATCCCATCTTGATCATGAACCCATCGATTGTTTGGTTCCACATGCGAGGCGATTGCTTCAAGCCGTAGAGTGATCTCTTTAGCTTGCACACATAGTCCGGCTGTGTTGCATCCAGGTATCCGTCCGGCTGGTCCATGTAGATGTCTTCGTTGAGGGAGCCGTTAAGAAACGCTGTCTTGACGTCCATCTGATGTAGCATTAGGCCGTACTTGGCCGCCATACTGAGCACCACACGAATCGATGTGAACTTGGCCACCGGTGCGAAAGTTTCTTCATAGTCAACTCCGAATTTCTGTGAGAATCCTTTGGCCACAAGTCTTGCCTTGAAACGTTCAACTTCGCCATCTTGATTCTCCTTTACACGAAAAACCCATCGGCACCCGATGGCCTTGCGACCTTTCGGAAGAGGCACGATTTCCCACGTGTCGTTTCTCTGAAGCGAATCGAACTCCGAGTCACACGCTTCTTTCCACTTGCCGGAGTCGCTTGATTCCATCGCCGACTTGAATGTATTCGGCGTTTCCCCCACTGAATCAACGATGTAGGCTGCTTCAAAATCCATTGCAGCCGCTGACACATGCTCAAGCGACGGACCTCTGTATGTTCTTCGCTTGGGACTTGGAATGACGGTAGCTTTCTCAAGTGATTGATTGCGCGTGTGTCTCTTGATGTTGCTCTTCGAAGACCTGGTGTCTTCGTTGTCATCGTCGCTCGAGTCCATGTCGTCGTCAGTTTTACCTTCTTCTTTTTCTTCGTCCTCATCATGATCATCAAACTCAACGACACTTGACTCATCGTTGTAGTTGCGCGGACCTTCATCAAACTTGTCTTCCATGAATGTGGCATCGCGACTGATCTTGATCGCTCCTGTTGACACTTCCTCAAATCGATATGACTTCTGGTGTTCGGCGTATCCCAGGAAACGACAGAGTGATGACTTGGAGTCGAACTTCGCGCGTTTGTCTTGAGGCACTTGAACATACGCGTGGCATCCAAACACTTTAAGGTTGGCCAGAATCGGTTTCTTCATCGTCCACACTTGATATGGAGACTTGTCTTGGTGAATGGCACGTGTTGGACAGCGGTTTCGAAGAAACATCGCCGTCATCACTGCTTCACCCCAGTAGCTCTTTCCCAGTCCAGCGTGTTCCATCATGCAACGCGCACACTCGACCAGCGTGCGATTCATTCTCTCAGCTACTCCGTTTAGCTGAGGAGTATATGGGGGTGTGAACCTTTGTTGTATTCCCCGTTCCGCGCAGAATCGTGCCAGCTTGTCGGACTTGTATTCACCCCCATTGTCGCTTTGAAGGTACTTCACGCGCTTTCCGGTTTGCGTTTCGGCCATCGCAGCGTATTCCATGAACTTCGCCGCAACTTCAGATTTGCTCTTGAGCAGATAGACGACACAGTATCTTGACTTGTCATCAATGAATGTCACGAAGTACCGTTTTCCACTGAAAGTTGCCATCGACATCGGTCCGCATACGTCGCTGTGAATCACTTCGAGGAGTTTGGAGGTGCGAGCTGTATTGTTTGATTGGAAGCGCACTCGAGTCTGTTTTCCCAGAGCACAACCTTCACACACGTCCCACTTCTTCACCGAAGATATGTCGATGCCAATTCCAATGTTCTTCGTCACGATGCAATTGAGTCCATCGTGACCTATGTGGCCAAGCCGAAGGTGCCAGAGGTACGACTTGGTGCCCCCTTGACATCCCGACGACTTGGCTGCATTTGCTTGTTCCGGCGCCACTGGAGTCATTTGCAGCCTGAACAGTCCTTTACCTTCACGGGCACCAATTTTCCACTTGGTCCCTTTCGCTTCTCCATAGCACCCATCCTTCGTGAACGTCACTGGGCCGACATCCTTGGTGAAGCGGCCGACCGAGAACAGGTTTCTGGATAACTTTGGGATGTGCCACACGTTTGTGAGCACACCTTTCTTCATCCCTTGGGGTGTCTTCATCGACATGACAATGTCCCCACTGCCGATTGCTTGGACGATTCCATCATCCGCGAGATGGACATCCACAGCGTCAAACCCCTTGTAGTTCCGCATGAACTTCTTGGAGCACGTCATGTGCTGCGTCGCCCCGGAGTCGACCAGCCAGATGTCGCTCGATTTCGCAGATGTCGTTTCACCGATCGAAAAGAGGTAGTCGCCCGAGTCTTCTTCTTGAGCGACGTTTGCACGTTGTGATCGATAGCGGTCGCCGCTGTCTTGAGCACGCTGTGGCCGGTGTCTCTCCGTGTTTTCTTGGATGCGCGAGGGGCACTCCGCCATCCAGTGACCAATCTTTCCGCAATTGTGGCACGGCCAGGACTTCTTCACTGGTCGCCCTTGCGCTGATTGTCCCTTGTGATGAACGCTTGACCTTGCGAAGCTTCATCACCTTTACTTCCTTGCTCCTTCCGCTTCATTTCTTCATGAAGCAGTCGAGACGTCACGAGCTCCCAGCTAAGAGTGTCTGAGCGCGACTCCAAAGCTGTGATCAAGAATTGATACGAGTCACTCAGGCTGCCGAGGAGTGTGATCACCAGATCGTCCTCGCAGACTGGAGCCCCCACCGCTTCTAGCTGTTCCGCCAGCGTCTTGAGCTTGTTGATGTGTTCGAGCACATCGTCGCCTTCTTCCATCATTGTCGTGAAGAAGCGACGGCGCAAGAACAGCTTGTTGGCAAGACTCTTCTTCTCGAAGTGGTCTTCCAACCTTGACCATGCGTCGCATGCACCACTTGCCGACCGGACCAACGGTAGCTGGGAAGCTTCCATGGCTAGACAGATCACTGCCATCGCCTTTCTTGACTTCCTCTTGTACGTCGCTTGGTCCAACTGAGTCTCGCACTGTTCCGCCTTGATCTCACCGCTGACGACCTCCCATAGGTCCCGTTCCTCCAGCACCATCTGCATCTTGAACTTCCAGGCGTGGAAGTTAGTTCCATCGAACTTGGAGATGCGGAGGGAGGAGGCGTCCATGGCAGCTAAGCTTGAATTGTTGGCGGTTTCAGAGTCTGACGAACTTGGGCTCATAACCTGATGAACTTTAGACTTCTTGGTCCGAGTGCAAAACGCAAAGTGAATATATATTTATAATAGGTACTTAGTTCGCAACTTTGAATACTACCTCTAAGCCTATTATTCGCAGTGACGTCATCCAGTGACGTCACCCACTGACGTCACCCACTGACGTCATGCAATGACGTCATCCAGTGACGTCATTTCCTGACTTCGCCCTTACTGGTACATACCGGTACCCACCGGTATAGCGAAGCTTGGTCTTCCACTTGCTTCAACACTTGACGCAGCTTGACGAGGTGTCTTCTTCACAGCCGCTGTCTTTTCAACACGTCTCGTTCCACACTCGCGACGCTTGCTTGAGGCCGTAAATTGACTTCACCAATTCCAGGCAGTCGAACGTACTGTCAAGTTCGACGCCTTCAGGAATCACGCAGAACACTTGTTCCTTCATGACGCCATACAGGAAAGCTGTCACCACATCAAGCTGGTCGATGGGCCATCCAAAATGCTTGGAAATTGCGATCACCATTCGCAGCGTCACATACTTGACCACAGGCGAAAACGTCTCCGTGTAGTCGATGCCATACTTTTGGCGGAAACCCTTGGCCACAAGTCGTGCCTTGTACTTCTCGATTGACCCATCTGTTGAAAAGACAGCGGCTGTGAAGAAGACACCTCGTCAAGCTGCGTCAAGTGTTGAAGCAAGTGGAAGACCAAGCTTCGCTATACCGGTGGGTACCGGTATGTACCAGTAAGGGCGAAGTCAGGAAATGACGTCACTGGATGACGTCATTGCATGACGTCAGTGGGTGACGTCAGTGGGTGACGTCACTGGATGACGTCACTGCGAATAATAGGCTTAGAGGTAGTATTCAAAGTTGCAAACTAAGTACCTATTATAAATATATATTCACTTTGCGTTTTGCACTCGGACCAAGAAGTCTAAAGTTCATCAGGTTATGAGCCCAAGTTCGTCAGACTCTGAAACCGCCAACAATTCAAGCTTAGCTGCCATGGACGCCTCCTCCCTCCGCATCTCCAAGTTCGATGGAACTAACTTCCACGCCTGGAAGTTCAAGATGCAGATGGTGCTGGAGGAACGGGACCTATGGGAGGTCGTCAGCGGTGAGATCAAGGCGGAACAGTGCGAGACTCAGTTGGACCAAGCGACGTACAAGAGGAAGTCAAGAAAGGCGATGGCAGTGATCTGTCTAGCCATGGAAGATTCCCAGCTACCGTTGGTCCGGTCGGCAAGTGGTGCATGCGACGCATGGTCAAGGTTGGAAGACCACTTCGAGAAGAAGAGTCTTGCCAACAAGCTGTTCTTGCGCCGTCGCTTCTTCACGACAATGATGGAAGAAGGCGACGATGTGCTCGAACACATCAACAAGCTCAAGACGCTGGCGGAACAGCTAGAAGCGGTGGGGGCTCCAGTCTGCGAGGACGATCTGGTGATCACACTCCTCGGCAGCCTGAGTGACTCGTATCAATTCTTGATCACAGCTTTGGAGTCGCGCTCAGACACTCTTAGCTGGGAGCTCGTGACGTCTCGACTGCTTCATGAAGAAATGAAGCGGAAGGAGCAAGGAAGTAAAGGTGATGAAGCTTCGCAAGGTCAAGCGTTCATCACAAGGGACAATCAGCGCAAAGGGCGACCAGTGAAGAAGTCCTGGCCGTGCCACAATTGCGGAAAGATTGGTCACTGGATGGCGGAGTGCCCCTCGCGCATCCAAGAAAACACGGAGAGACACCGGCCACAGCGTGCTCAAGACAGCGGCGACCGCTATCGATCACAACGTGCAAACGTCGCTCAAGAAGAAGACTCGGGCGACTACCTCTTTTCGATCGGTGAAACGACATCTGCGAAATCGAGCGACATCTGGCTGGTCGACTCCGGGGCGACGCAGCACATGACGTGCTCCAAGAAGTTCATGCGGAACTACAAGGGGTTTGACGCTGTGGATGTCCATCTCGCGGATGATGGAATCGTCCAAGCAATCGGCAGTGGGGACATTGTTGTTGACGGTCATCGGTTTCTACCAGTATTGGTAACCGTGACCGGTCCAATCCGAACCGCCTGTTCAGCTTAGTATTTACGACGTAGTTCTTACGGTAATTACCATAGTTGATTAGACGCGTAGGATGATGAGACGCTTCACATGATTTATATGTGCACCACATATAAATCATGTAGTAAGTAGTAAGCCCCGATAATCAATCACTTTCCAATCTTCCATCTAAACCCCAAGTGTCTTCTCCGGTCTTCCGAGTGGACTCTCAGCATCACTCCCAGTTTCGGTCGTCAAGATTTTCACCTTCAACAGGTTATGAGCCCAAGCACGATGTCCTCTGCTCATGATGCCACCACCAAGATCTCCATTGACAAGTTCGACGGCGACAACTACGCGACGTGGAGCCGCTACATGCGTGGCGTGTTCCTGACCAAGTCGGCGTGGCACGTGGTGAACCGGGAGACCACCCCCACCTTCGCCGATCCTCGCGCCAGTGACGACTACGTCAAGACGAACAACATTGCGTTCGGCTTGATGCTTCTGCACATGAGCGCGGATTATCATCACGTGGTTGATGACTGTGAAGAGGCGTGGGTCGCGTGGGCGCGTTTGAAGACGCTGTACGGCGGGTCGCAGAAGGCTGGACGCATCTACTTGAAGCGCCAGCTGTTCAGCATGGAGATGGCGGAAGGCGGCAATGTGATGCATCATTGCAACGAAGTCCTCAACATCAGCGCGAAGCTCAGCAGCATCGGCGCCAAGATGGAGAATGAGGACGTTGCGATCTGCTTACTGCGCAGTCTGCCCAAGATTTCGAGAACGGGGTTCTCAACTTGGAGATGAACAGCGCGGAACTGCGATCGCGAGACGTCGTGAGAGTGCTCACGAATGAGCACATCAAGAGGCAAGGTGACAAGACGACATCGGTGAAGACTGAAGACGCGGCCATGGCGTTCAGTACCGAGCGTGAACCCCACCAATGCACGTACTGCGGAAAATTGGGGCACACGGCGGAGCGGTGCTGGACCAAGCAGAAGGACGAAAATCAAGGTGGAGCTCGACGCGGCGGCAACAATGCTCGTGGACGCGGAGCCAACAACGTTCAGTGGCGAACCAACAGCAACTACGATGACAACTACGATCGAGTTGCGTTCGCGGTTTCGCTGGAGGCTGGACTTTCGACGGGCAAGAATATGCCAGGGATGTGGGCAGTCGACAGCGGTGCGACGCATCACATCTGCAACGACAAGGCCAAGTTTGCAAGCCTGAATGAGCGAGAGGAAGGCGAGCTATCAGTGGCTGATGGCAGCAAGGCTGCGATCAAGGGTGTGGGAACCATCATGGAACGGGTGGTTCTGCCCAATGGTGACGAACTCGACATCGAGATCAAGGACGCACTGTTCGTACCAAGTATGAGCAAGAATCTGCTTTCGGTGCCACAGATCAACAAGGGTGGCAGGTTCCAAGTCGTGTTCGATGGATCCAAGATGCAAGTGAAGCGCAAGAATTCCACACAAGTCGTGGCAACAGCGGATCTCGTCGATGGACTTTACTGGCTGCGGACTCCTCAACGATCGGCAAATGCAGCAACACGCAATGGGACCATCGACTTGCATGCGCGCATGGGTCATGCACCCCTCGAAGTTCTGCGCAAGATGGTGGCCACTGGCATGATCAAGGACGCCAAGGCACCTCTCAACTCGACTGGTCCAAGTGTGTGTCGCGGTTGCCAGCAAGGAAAGATGGTTCAAAAACCATTCCCAACCAACCGTGACAAACGCCAATATGGTGTGTTCGAGTTGCTGCACTTCGACATCTGCGGGCCAATGGAACAAGTTTCGATCGGCGGCAGCAGATACTTACTGCTTGTGGTTGACGAAGCCAGCGGTTGCATGAAGGGCTTCTGTCTGCGGTCCGAGTCTGAGAGTGAAGACTTTATCAAGAACCACATTATCAAGATTCAAACTCAGTTCGGCACGAAGATCAAGTTTGTTCGGCACGATGGAGCGCATGAGTTTGCGACCAACTCCATCAAGACCTTCTACGAAGATCATGGTATTGAACAACAGATCACGGTGCCGTATGCACACCAGACCAACGGCACCGCAGAACGCGCGATGAGGACCATCGTCACGATCGGACGCAGCTTGTTGCATCATGCAAAGCTGGAGAAGTGTTTCTGGGCTGAAGCGGCAATGACGGCGATCTACATCAAGAACCGCCTGCCTTCACCCAAGATCGACCACAAGACTCCGTTCGAGATCGTGTACAAGTCGAAACCAAGTGTCAAGCACATGCGCGTGTTTGGATGTCGGGCGTTTATCCTGACACCAAGGGAGAAGATTGAAGTGGGACCCGAAGGCTTGTGAAGGGATGTTCATGGGCTACGAAGAAGCGTCAAAAGCTTATCGAGTGTACGACATTGAGACGGGCCAAGTGGTGATCAGTCGTGACATCACCTTCGACGAATCGACTTTTGACTTTTCGATGGACCGACCAAGTGACGATGATGAAGATGCGGAGTTGGACCTCGACCTCCTGGCGATCAACGAGGACGACGTGCGTCAAACCGTCTACAATCAGACTGGCAAGCGCAAGAGTGAAGCAAGACCCGGCATGTCACGGTCAGCTCGCCCTCGAACTGGGTTGGAACAAGCAAGTGCGCCGGAACACGTCTCCAACCGTCACCAGAAACGACGATCAAGTGCTCCAGAAACGATGTCTGATGACGAAGAAGATGCAAGCGTGTACGATCAAGATGACGACTCGACGCCTCCAACATTTTGGCGTGCAAGTGCAAACGCAGTGGAAGCAACGGACCTAGCAGAACCTGTGACTTTTCAAGACGCGATCAATGGTCCTGATCAAACTCACTGGCGAAATGCTGTGAAGGTGGAACTCAAGTCGATGCATCTTCGTGGAGTTTTCCGTGCGGCAAAACTGCCAAGAGGCCAAGGCGCGATCGGCACCAAGTGGGTGTTCAAGATCAAGCGCAAAGCGGATGGATCGGTCGAGAAATACAAGGCGCGTATCGTTGTCAAGGGCTTCAAGCAGAAGTACGGCATCGACTACACAGAGACGTTCTCGCCCGTGGTCAAGTACGTGACACTGCGTATGGTGATCGCGATCACCAAGTATTTCGACTGGCCACTGGACCAACTCGATGTGGTGACAGCCTTTCTCTACGGAGTGATGAAGGAGAAGGTGTACTGCGTGATACCAGAAGGCGTCGAGATGGATGGCGACTTCGACTGTCTCGAGTTGGTGAAGGCGATCTACGGTCTCAAGCAAGCTTCACGTGTGTGGAACGAGACTTTCGACGAGTTCGTATGCTTTATCGGTTTCGAAGCGTCGGCGTTCGACCCATGTCTCTACATCAAGGTTGTCGACGGTCACTGTGTGCTCGTGCTGGTCTACGTGGATGACGTGTTGGTCACCGGCAGCTCGCTCGAGTTGATTGCGCAGACGAAGGCCGACCTCAAGACGCGTTTCGAGATGACCGACAGTGGCAAGTGTACTTTTGTACTGGGCATCGAACTGGTGGACGAATCGGATGGCAGCGTGACAATGTGCCAGCGACGGTATGTCAACGACATCCTCAAGCGCTTCGGCATGGATGAGTGCAAGGCCACAGCAAGTCCGGTCGACTTGAGCACTCGGCTTGTCGCAAGCACCGAAGCGGCCAAGATCGACGTTCCGTTTCGTGAAGCTGTGTGAGCTTTGATGCACTTGACGACTGCGACGCGCCCGGACATTGCGTATGCTGTGGGGTACGTCTCGCGCTTCATGGAGAATCCGCAGCAAGAACATTGGACGGCGGTGAAGCGCATCTTTCGTTACTTGCAAGGGACCAAGTCGCACGGACTCCGCTTCCAGCCAAGCGACAAGATCGACTTTCGTGGCTACTCGGACGCGGACTGGGCCGGCGATCACGCTGATCGCAAGTCGACTTCGGGTTACACTTTCATGCTGATGGGTGCTCCTGTGAGTTGGGGAAGCAAGAAGCAGTCAAGCGTGTCACTGTCGACAAGTGAAGCGGAATACATCGCGCTAAGTCTGGCCATCCAGGAAGTCAAGTGGGTGCATCGCCTGCTATGCGAGATTTTGGCGGCCGCAAACGAACCAGGACCGGACCTCGTCATCCGTGAAGACAACCAGTCGTGTATCAAGATGACGAAGAATCCGATGAATCATGGTCGAGCCAATCATATCGATATCAAGTACCATCACATCCGTGATGAGGTTAAGCGCGGTGAAGTGCAGCTCGAGTATTGCGAGACTTCCGTGATGATGGCGGACATCATGACCAAGGGACTTTCGGGACCTCGTCACAAGGACTTGACGACGGCTCTCGGCATTCGTGCGAGTTCGGATTGAGGGGGCGTGTTGACGGTCATCGGTTTCTACCAGTATTGGTAACCGTGACCGGTCCAATCCGAACCGCCTGTTCAGCTTAGTATTTACGACGTAGTTCTTACGGTAATTACCATAGTTGATTAGACGCGTAGGATGATGAGACGCTTCACATGATTTATATGTGCACCACATATAAATCATGTAGTAAGTAGTAAGCCCCGATAATCAATCACTTTCCAATCTTCCATCTAAACCCCAAGTGTCTTCTCCGGTCTTCCGAGTGGACTTTCAGCATCACTCCCAGTTTCGGTCGTCAAGCTTTTCACCTTCAACAATTGTCATGTCGATGAAGACACCCCAAGGGATGAAGAAAGGTGTGCTCACAAACGTGTGGCACATCCCAAAGTTATCCAGAAACCTGTTCTCGGTCGGCCGCTTCACCAAGGATGTCGGCCCAGTGACGTTCACGAAGGATGGGTGCTATGGAAAAGCGAAAGGGACCAAGTGGAAAATTGGTGCCCGTGAAGTTAAAGGACTGTTCAAGCTGCAAATGACTCCAGTGGCGCCGGAACAAGCAAATGCAGCCAAGTCGTCGGGATGTCAAGGGGGCACCAAGTCGTACCTCTGGCACCTTCGGCTTGGCCACATAGGTCACGATGGACTCAATTGCATCGTGACGAAGAACATTGGAATTGGCATCGACATTGATGAACTTTAGACTTCTTGGTCCGAGTGCAAAACGCAAAGTGAATATATATTTATAATAGGTACTTAGTTCGCAACTTTGAATACTACCTCTAAGCCTATTATTCGCAGTGACGTCATCCAGTGACGTCACCCACTGACGTCACCCACTGACGTCATGCAATGACGTCATCCAGTGACGTCATTTCCTGACTTCGCCCTTACTGGTACATACCGGTACCCACCGGTATAGCGAAGCTTGGTCTTCCACTTGCTTCAACACTTGACGCAGCTTGACGAGGTGTCTTCTTCACAGCCGCTGTCTTTTCAACACTCCCTCTCGACTCGTTAGCTGCGGCACCTTGGATCCCAAGTCGATCGCGAATGTTTTCAAATTGTACAGCGGCGATCGGCTTGGTCATCATGTCTGCCAGCATATCTTGAGTCGGGCAATACTCCAAAACGACTTCACCTGATTCCACCTTCTCACGCACAAAATGGTAGCGTATGTCGATGTGTTTTGTTCTCTTATGGAACTCCGGGTTCTTGGCGAGAGCGATTGATCCTTGGTTGTCTTCATACATCTTGATCGCTTCGTCGCTTGTCATCTCACCAAGTTCCCCCAAAAGCACTTTGAGCCATACTGCTTCTTTGGTTGCTTCGGAAAGCGCCATGTATTCTGCTTCTGTTGAAGATAGCGCGACCGTCCGTTGTTTCTGGCTTTTCCAGCTGATGCATCCTCCGCTCATCATGAACACATATCCGCTTGTACTTCGTCTTGACTCAATGTCGCCGGCCCAGTCTGCGTCGGTGTACCCGCAGATACGGCTTCCTTCTTCACGTGTAAACTCAAGACCATGATTGGGCGTTGCTTGCAGGTATCTCAGCACACGCTTCAAAGCTTGCCAGTGAGTCGGGCATGGGTCGGACGAGAACTGGGATAATGATCCCACTGCAGCAGCTAGATCCGGACGTGTGGCGACCATGAGATACATGATGCCTCCGACAGCACTTCGATATGGCACGTTGCACATGGTGTCTTCGTGCTTGCATTCTTGTTCACACATGTTCTTGGTTAGCTTCAGGCCGGGATCTTGAGGCGTCTTCACTGGCTTGCTGTTATCCATTCCGAACTTGGTTAACACGGACTTGAGAAACTTGGTTTGTTGTACAGTCACCATTCCCGTCTTACGGTCGTTCTTGATCTCCATGCCGAGAAAGTAATCGAGCTCACCGAGATCCGTCATTTCGAAGCGTTTGCTCAGCGCCATCTTGGTTGACTTGAGGAGTTCGTTGTTGCTGCTGGCCAGGATGAGATCATCGACGTAGAGCACCACGAGAATCATGTCTTGGTCGTCTCGCTTGATGTAGATGCAGTGGTCCGATTCGCACTTCTTGAATCCCATCTTGATCATGAACCCATCGATTGTTTGGTTCCACATGCGAGGCGATTGCTTCAAGCCGTAGAGTGATCTCTTTAGCTTGCACACATAGTCCGGCTGTGTTGTATCCAGGTATCCGTCCGGCTGGTCCATGTAGATGTCTTCGTTGAGGGAGCCGTTAAGAAACGCTGTCTTGACGTCCATCTGATGTAGCATTAGGCCGTACTTAGCCGCCATACTGAGCACCACACGAATCGATGTGAACTTGGCCACCGGTGCGAAAGTTTCTTCATAGTCAACTCCGAATTCCTGTGAGAATCCTTTGGCCACAAGTCTTGCCTTGAAGCGTTCAACTTCGCCATCTTGATTCTCCTTTACACGAAAAACCCATCGGCACCCGATGGCCTTGCGACCTTTCGGAAGAGGCACGATTTCCCACGTGTCGTTTCTCTGAAGCGAATCGAACTCCGAGTCACACGCTTCTTTCCACTTGCCGGAGTCGCTTGATTCCATCGCCGACTTGAATGTAGTCGGCGTTTCCCCACTGAATCAACGATGTAGGCTGCTTCAAAATCCATTGCAGCCGCTGACACATGCTCAAGCGACGGACCTCTGTATGTTCTTCGCTTGGGACTTGGAATGACGGTAGCTTTCTCAAGTGATTGAGTGCGCGTGTGTCTCTTGATGTTGCTCTTCGAAGACCTGGTGTCTTCGTTGTCATCGTCGCTCGAGTCCATTTCGTCGTCAGTTTTACCTTCTTCTTTTTCTTCGTCCTCATCATGATCACAAAACTCAACGACACTTGACTCATCGTTGTAGTTGCGCGGACCTTCATCAAACTTGTCTTCCATGAATGTGGCATCGCGACTGATCTTGATCGCTCCTGTTGACACTTCCTCAAATCGATATGACTTCTGGTGTTCGGCGTATCCCAGGAAACGACAGAGTGATGACTTGGAGTCGAACTTCGCGCGTTTGTCTTGAGGCACTTGAACATACGCGTGGCATCCAAACACTTTAAGGTTGGCCAGAATCGGTTTCTTCATCGTCCACACTTGATATGGAGACTTGTCTTGGTGAATGGCACGTGTTGGACAGCGGTTTCGAAGAAACATCGCCGTCATCACTGCTTCACCCCAGTAGCTCTTTCCCAGTCCAGCGTGTTCCATCATGCAACGCGCACACTCGACCAGCGTGCGATTCATTCTCTCAGCTACTCCGTTTAGCTGAGGAGTATATGGGGGTGTGAACCTTTGTTGTATTCCCCGTTCCGCGCAGAATCGTGCCAGCTTGTCGGACTTGTATTCACCCCCATTGTCGCTTTGAAGGTACTTCACGCGCTTTCCGGTTTGCGTTTCGGCCATCGCAGCGTATTCCATGAACTTCGCCGCAACTTCAGATTTGCTCTTGAGCAGATAGACGACACAGTATCTTGACTTGTCATCAATGAATGTCACGAAGTACCGTTTTCCACTGAAAGTTGCCATCGACATCGGTCCGCATACGTCGCTGTGAATCACTTCGAGGAGTTTGGAGGTGCGAGCTGTATTGTTTGATTGGAAGCGCACTCGAGTCTGTTTTCCCAGAGCACAACCTTCACACACGTCCCACTTCTTCACCGAAGATATGTCGATGCCAATTCCAATGTTCTTCGTCACGATGCAATTGAGTCCATCGTGACCTATGTGGCCAAGCCGAAGGTGCCAGAGGTACGACTTGGTGCCCCCTTGACATCCCGACGACTTGGCTGCATTTGCTTGTTCCGGCGCCACTGGAGTCATTTGCAGCCTGAACAGTCCTTTACCTTCACGGGCACCAATTTTCCACTTGGTCCCTTTCGCTTCTCCATAGCACCCATCCTTCGTGAACGTCACTGGGCCGACATCCTTGGTGAAGCGGCCGACCGAGAACAGGTTTCTGGATAACTTTGGGATGTGCCACACGTTTGTGAGCACACCTTTCTTCATCCCTTGGGGTGTCTTCATCGACATGACAATGTCCCCACTGCCGATTGCTTGGACGATTCCATCATCCGCGAGATGGACATCCACAGCGTCAAACCCCTTGTAGTTCCGCATGAACTTCTTGGAGCACGTCATGTGCTGCGTCGCCCCGGAGTCGACCAGCCAGATGTCGCTCGATTTCGCAGATGTCGTTTCACCGATCGAAAAGAGGTAGTCGCCCGAGTCTTCTTCTTGAGCGACGTTTGCACGTTGTGATCGATAGCGGTCGCCGCTGTCTTGAGCACGCTGTGGCCGGTGTCTCTCCGTGTTTTCTTGGATGCGCGAGGGGCACTCCGCCATCCAGTGACCAATCTTTCCGCAATTGTGGCACGGCCAGGACTTCTTCACTGGTCGCCCTTTGCGCTGATTGTCCCTTGTGATGAACGCTTGACCTTGCGAAGCTTCATCACCTTTACTTCCTTGCTCCTTCCGCTTCATTTCTTCATGAAGCAGTCGAGACGTCACGAGCTCCCAGCTAAGAGTGTCTGAGCGCGACTCCAAAGCTGTGATCAAGAATTGATACGAGTCACTCAGGCTGCCGAGGAGTGTGATCACCAGATCGTCCTCGCAGACTGGAGCCCCCACCGCTTCTAGCTGTTCCGCCAGCGTCTTGAGCTTGTTGATGTGTTCGAGCACATCGTCGCCTTCTTCCATCATTGTCGTTAAGAAGCGACGGCGTAAGAACAGCTTGTTGGCAAGACTCTTCTTCTCGAAGTGGTCTTCCAACCTTGACCATGCGTCGCATGCACCACTTGCCGACCGGACCAACGGTAGCTGGGAATCTTCCATGGCTAGACAGATCACTGCCATCGCCTTTCTTGACTTCCTCTTGTACGTCGCTTGGTCCAACTGAGTCTCGCACTGTTCCGCCTTGATCTCACCGCTGACGACCTCCCATAGGTCCCGTTCCTCCAGCACCATCTGCATCTTGAACTTCCAGGCGTGGAAGTTAGTTCCATCGAACTTGTAGATGCGGAGGGAGGAGGCGTCCATGGCAGCTAAGCTTGAATTGTTGGCGGTTTCAGAGTCTGACGAACTTGGGCTCATAACCTGATGAACTTTAGACTTCTTGGTCCGAGTGCAAAACGCAAAGTGAATATATATTTATAATAGGTACTTAGTTCGCAACTTTGAATACTACCTCTAAGCCTATTATTCGCAGTGACGTCATCCAGTGACGTCACCCACTGACGTCACCCACTGACGTCATGCAATGACGTCATCCAGTGACGTCATTTCCTGACTTCGCCCTTACTGGTACATACCGGTACCCACCGGTATAGCGAAGCTTGGTCTTCCACTTGCTTCAACACTTGACGCAGCTTGACGAGGTGTCTTCTTCACAGCCGCTGTCTTTTCAACAGTGTGAAGGTTGTGCTCTGGGAAAACAGACTCGAGTGCGCTTCCAATCAAGCACTACAGCTCGCACCTCCAAACTCCTCGAAGTGATTCACAGCGACGTATGCGGACCGATGTCGATGGCAACTTTCAGTGGAAAACGGTACTTCGTGACATTCATTGATGACAAGTCAAGATACTGTGTCGTCTATCTGCTCAAGAGCAAATCTGAAGTTGCGGCGAAGTTCATGGAATACGCTGCGATGGCCGAAACGCAAACCGGAAAGCGCGTGAAGTACCTTCAAAGCGACAATGGGGGTGAATACAAGTCCGACAAGCTGGCACGATTCTGCGCGGAACGGGGAATACAACAAAGGTTCACACCCCCATATACTCCTCAGCTAAACGGAGTAGCTGAGAGAATGAATCGCACGCTGGTCGAGTGTGCGCGTTGCATGATGGAACACGCTGGACTGGGAAAGAGCTACTGGGGTGAAGCAGTGATGACGGCGATGTTTCTTCGAAACCGCTGTCCAACACGTGCCATTCACCAAGACAAGTCTCCATATCAAGTGTGGACGATGAAGAAACCGATTCTGGCCAACCTTAAAGTGTTTGGATGCCACGCGTATGTTCAAGTGCCTCAAGACAAACGCGCGAAGTTCGACTCCAAGTCATCACTCTGTCGTTTCCTGGGATACGCCGAACACCAGAAGTCATATCGATTTGAGGAAGTGTCAACAGGAGCGATCAAGATCAGTCGCGATGCCACATTCATGGAAGACAAGTTTGATGAAGGTCCGCGCAACTACAACGATGAGTCAAGTGTCGTTGAGTTTTGTGATCATGATGAGGACGAAGAAAAAGAAGAAGGTAAAACTGACGACGAAATGGACTCGAGCGACGATGACAACGAAGACACCAGGTCTTCGAAGAGCAACATCAAGAGACACACGCGCACTCAATCACTTGAGAAAGCTACCGTCATTCCAAGTCCCAAGCGAAGAACATACAGAGGTCCGTCGCTTGAGCATGTGTCAGCGGCTGCAATGGATTTTGAAGCAGCCTACATCGTTGATTCAGTGGGGAAACGCCGACTACATTCAAGTCGGCGATGGAATCAAGCGACTCCGGCAAGTGGAAAGAAGCGTGTGACTCGGAGTTCGATTCGCTTCAGAGAAACGACACGTGGGAAATCGTGCCTCTTCCGAAAGGTCGCAAGGCCATCGGGTGCCGATGGGTTTTTCGTGTAAAGGAGAATCAAGATGGCGAAGTTGAACGTTTCAAGGCAAGACTTGTGGCCAAAGGATTCTCACAGAAATTCGGAGTTGACTATGAAGAAACTTTCGCACCGGTGGCCAAGTTCACATCGATTCGTGTGGTGCTCAGTATGGCGGCTAAGTACGGCCTAATGCTACATCAGATGGACGTCAAGACAGCGTTTCTTAACGGCTCCCTCAACGAAGACATCTACATGGACCAGCCGGACGGATACCTGGATGCAACACAGCCGGACTATGTGTGCAAGCTAAAAAGATCACTCTACGGCTTGAAGCAATCGCCTCGCATGTGGAACCAAACAATCGATGGGTTCATGATCAAGATGGGGATTCAAGAAGTGCGAATCGAACCACTGCATCTACATCAAGCGAGACGACCAAGACATGATTCTCGTGGTGCTCTACGTCGATGATCTCATCCTGGCCAGCAGCAACAACGAACTCCTCAAGTCAACCAAGATGGCGCTGAGCAAACGCTTCGAAATGACGGATCTCGGTGAGCTCGATTACTTTCTCGGCATGGAGATCAAGAACGACCGTAAGACGGGAATGGTGACTGTACAACAAACCAAGTTTCTCAAGTCCGTGTTAACCAAGTTCGGAATGGATAACAGCAAGCCAGTGAAGACGCCTCAAGATCCCGGCCTGAAGCTAACCAAGAACATGTGTGAACAAGAATGCAAGCACGAAGACACCATGTGCAACGTGCCATATCGAAGTGCTGTCGGAGGCATCATGTATCTCATGGTCGCCACACGTCCGGATCTAGCTGCTGCAGTGGGATCATTATCCCAGTTCTCGTCCGACCCATGCCCGACTCACTGGCAAGCTTTGAAGCGTGTGCTGAGATACCTGCAAGCAACGCCCAATCATGGTCTTGAGTTTACACGTGAAGAAGGAAGCCGTATCTGCGGGTACACCGACGCAGACTGGGCCGGCGACATTGAGTCAAGACGAAGTACAAGCGGATATGTGTTCATGATGAGCGGAGGATGCATCAGCTGGAAAAGCCAGAAACAACGGACGGTCGCGCTATCTTCAACAGAAGCAGAATACATGGCGCTTTCCGAAGCAACCAAAGAAGCAGTATGGCTCAAAGTGCTTTTGGGGGAACTTGGTGAGATGACAAGCGACGAAGCGATCAAGATGTATGAAGACAACCAAGGATCAATCGCTCTCGCCAAGAACCCGGAGTTCCATAAGAGAACAAAACACATCGACATACGCTACCATTTTGTGCGTGAGAAGGTGGAATCAGGTGAAGTCGTTTTGGAGTATTGCCCGACTCAAGATATGCTGGCAGACATGATGACCAAGCCGATCGCCGCTGTACAATTTGAAAACATTCGCGATCGACTTGGGATCCAAGGTGCCGCAGCTAACGAGTCGAGAGGGAGTGTTGAAAAGACAGCGGCTGTGAAGAAGACACCTCGTCAAGCTGCGTCAAGTGTTGAAGCAAGTGGAAGACCAAGCTTCGCTATACCGGTGGGTACCGGTATGTACCAGTAAGGGCGAAGTCAGGAAATGACGTCACTGGATGACGTCATTGCATGACGTCAGTGGGTGACGTCAGTGGGTGACGTCACTGGATGACGTCACTGCGAATAATAGGCTTAGAGGTAGTATTCAAAGTTGCAAACTAAGTACCTATTATAAATATATATTCACTTTGCGTTTTGCACTCGGACCAAGAAGTCTAAAGTTCATCACCATCCGCCTTGCGCTTGATCTTGAACACCCATTTTGTGCCAATGGCGCGTTGTCCGTTGGGCAGCTTGGCTGCACGAAACACACCGCGAAGTCGCATTGACTCGAGCTCTGCATGAATTGCTTTTCTCCAGTGCACTTGGTCAGGGTCGCTTACTGCTGCTTCAAATGTTGAGGGCTCTGATAAGTTCACTGCTGCTTCAACGGCATTTGCACTCGCACGCCAAAACACAGGCGGTGTTGAATCACCAGAATCCTTCGTTTCTTCGTCTTCTTCTTGTCGTGACGAGTTGTTTTCCGGCGCGCTTGACTCTTCTAGTCCTGGTCGTTGACGCACTGCACGCGGTCGTGGAGGTGCTGTATCTTCATCATTGAGTCGGTTCTTGCGCTTGCCTATTTGCTTGTACTCCATTTGACGCAGCTCTTCGTCATCAAGATCCAGCAATTCGAAGTCCAGGTCATCGACATCTTCATCAGTGATCGGCAGTTGAAGTCCAAAGGTGGACTCTTCGAAGTTGACATCGCGGCTGATAACCACCTGCCCCGCCTCGATGTCATAAACACGATATGCCTTCGAAACTTCTTCGTAGACCACGAATATGCCAGCGCGAGCCTTTGGATCCCACTTGAGTCGATTCTCTTTAGGCGTCAGTATGTATGTCTGACACCCGAATGTTCGCATGTGCTTGACGCTTGGTTTCAAGTTGTAGACGATCTCAAACGGGGTCTTGTGCACGACTTTAGGTGACGGCAGTCGATTCTTGACGTAGATGGCCGTCATCGCTGCTTCGGCCCAGAAACACTTGTCCAGTTTGGCATGATGAAGCATGCTGCGGCCGATCGTGACAATAGTCCTAATGGCACGCTCTGCTGTTCCGTTTGTTTGATGTGCATACGGCACCGTTGTCTGCTGTTCAATGCCTTCGTCTTCGTAGAACAGTTGAAGCGAGTTGGTTGCAAACTCGCGAGCTCCGTCGTGTCGCACGAACTTGACCTTCTTACAGAATTGCGTCTGTACCATGGTGATATATTTCCGGATGTAGTCTTCACTCTCGGACTTCACTCGTAGACAAAAGCCCTTCATGCATCCACTGGCTTCGTCGATGATCAGCAGCAAATATTTGCTGCCACCGAGCGAATCCTTTTCCATGGGCCCGCAGATGTCCAGATGAAGTAGCTCAAACGTATCGTAGCTGCGCTTGTCTCGGTTGCTTGGAAATGGTTTTTGGACCATTTTCCCTTGTTGACATCCTCGACATGTAGTTGCTCCACCCGACTTGAGAGGGACTCGCACATCCTTGATCATGTTGGTCGCGATCATCTTGCGAAGTACATCGACTGGAGCATGACCCATTCTCGCATGTAGATCGGCACAACTGGTTCCACTTGTTGTCACATTCGCTGATCGTTGAGTCGTCCGAAGCCAGTAGATTCCATCCACGAGATCCGCTGTCGCCACCACTTGCTGTGAGTTCTTGAGAGTCACATACATCTTGGACCCGTCAAACACGACTTGAAACTTGCCATGGCTGTTAATCTGTGGCACCGAGAGCAGGTTCTTGCTCATACTTGGAACATATAGCGCGTTCTTGATTTCGATCTCACGCTCTTCACCGTTGGGCAGAACCACCTTTTCCATGATGGTTCCCACACCCTTGATGGCCACCTTGTTGCCATCAGCCACCAAGAGTTCGCCCTCATTGCGCTCTGCCAAACTTGCGAACTTGGTCTTGTCGTGGCAAATGTGGTGCGTTGCACCACTGTCGACGGCCCACATTCCAGACACGTCCTTGCTCGTCGAAACTCCACATTCTAACGAGACTGCAAACGCCACTCGATCGTAGCCATTGCCTTCATCATGATGTCCCCACTGGACATTGTTAGCCCCGCGTCCACGACCATTGCCGCCGCGTCGGGCTCCCCGACCTTCGTTCTTCTGTTTTGTCCAGCAACGATCCACCGTGTGTCCCACCTTGCCACAATACGTGCATTGGTAGGGCTCACGCTCGGCGCTGAATGCCTTGCTTGCATCTTCAGCCTTCACCGTAGTCGCTGTCGTTGTCCCTTTTTCTCCTTGACGCTTGGCATGCTCATTCGTCAGGACTCTCACCACATCTTGAGTGCGAAGCTCGGTGCTGCTCATTTCCATGTTGAGCACCACATTTTCGTAGCTCTTCGGAAGACTGAGTAGCAGACAAATTGCAACGTCTTCGTCTTCCATCTTCGCACCGATGCCGCTAAGCTTGGCGGAGATGTTGAGGACCTCGTTGCAGTGATGCATGACGCTCGCGCCTTCAGCCATCTTGATACTGAAAAGTTGTTGCTTGAGGTAGATGCGTCCTGCCTTCTGCGACCCACCGTACAGCGTCTTCAGACTTGTCCACGCAACCCAGGCTTCCTCGCAGTTGTCCAGCACATGATGGTAGTCCGAGTTCATGTGCAGCAGCATCATACCAAACGCGACGTTGCTTGCCTTGACGTAGTCATCGGACGCTCGCGGGTCGGTGAAAGTCGGAGTCACTTCACGGTTGACAACGTGCCAGACGGACTTCGTCAAAAACACACCGCGCATGTACCGGCTCCACGTTGCGTAATTGTCTCCGTTGAACTTGTCAATGGAGGCGTTGCTGGTGGACGACATGGTGCTTGGGCTCATAACCTGTTGCAATGTAGATTGGAGCGAGGAAAGCGGAGCAAACGGAGCGGAGAGACCGAAGAGAGTAGAGCAGAAAACACTTGCCCAATAGTTGGAAGATTCGAAAGTGATTGATTATCGGGGCTTACTACTTACTACATGATTTACATGTGGTGTATGTTGAAAAGACAGCGGCTGTAAAGAAGACACCTCGTCAAGCTGCGTCAAGTGTTGAAGCAAGTGGAAGACCAAGCCTCGCTATACCGGTGGGTACCGGTATGTACCAGTAAGGGCGAAGTCAGGAAATGACGTCACTGGATGACGTCATTGCATGACGTCAGTGGGTAACGTCAGTGGGTGACGTCACTGGATGACGTCACTGCGAATAATAGGCTTAGAGGTAGTATTCAAAGTTGCGAACTAAGTACCTATTATAAATATATATTCACTTTGCGTTTTGCACTCGGACCAAGAAGTCTAAAGTTCATCAGGTTATGAGCCCAAGTTCGTCAGACTCTGAAACCGCCAACAATTCAAGCTTAGCTGCCATGGACGCCTCCTCCCTCCGCATCTCCAAGTTCGATGGAACTAACTTCCACGCCTGGAAGTTCAAGATGCAGATGGTGCTGGAGGAACGGGACCTATGGGAGGTCGTCAGCGGTGAGATCAAGGTGGAACAGTGCGAGACTCAGTTGGACCAAGCGACGTACAAGAGGAAGTCAAGAAAGGCGATGGCAGTGATCTGTCTAGCCATGGAAGATTCCCAGCTACCGTTGGTCCGGTCGGCAAGTGGTGCATGCGACGCATGGTCAAGGTTGGAAGACCACTTCGAGAAGAAGAGTCTTGCCAACAAGCTGTTCTTGCGCCGTCGCTTCTTCACGACAATGATGGAAGAAGGCGACGATGTGCTCGAACACATCAATAAGCTCAAGACGCTGGCGGAACAGCTAGAAGCGGTGGGGGCTCCAGTCTGCGAGGACGATCTGGTGATCACACTTCTCGGCAGCCTGAGTGACTCGTATCAATTCTTGATCACAGCTTTGGAGTCGCGCTCAGACACTCTTAGCTGGGAGCTCGTGACGTCTCGACTGCTTCATGAAGAAATGAAGCGGAACGAGCAAGGAAGTAAAGGTGATGAAGCTTCGCAAGGTCAAGCGTTCATCACAAGGGACAATCAGCGCAAAGGGCGACCAGTGAAGAAGTCCTGGCCGTGCCACAATTGCGGAAAGATTGGTCACTGGATGGCGGAGTGCCCCTCGCGCATCCAAGAAAACACGGAGAGACACCGGCCACAGCGTGCTCAAGACAGCGGCGACCGCTATCGATCACAACGTGCAAACGTCGCTCAAGAAGAAGACTCGGGCGACTACCTCTTTTCGATCGGTGAAACGACATCTGCGAAATCGAGCGACATCTGGCTGGTCGACTCCGGGGCGACGCAGCACATGACGTGCTCCAAGAAGTTCATGCGGAACTACAAGGGGTTTGACGCTGTGGATGTCCATCTCGCGGATGATGGAATCGTCCAAGCAATCGGCAGTGGGGACATTGTCATGTCGATGAAGACACCCCAAGGGATGAAGAAAGGTGTGCTCACAAACGTGTGGCACATCCCAAAGTTATCCAGAAACCTGTTCTCGGTCGGCCGCTTCACCAAGGATGTCGGCCCAGTGACGTTCACGAAGGATGGGTGCTATGGAGAAGCGAAAGGGACCAAGTGGAAAATTGGTGCCCGTGAAGGTAAAGGACTGTTCAGGCTGCAAATGACTCCAGTGGCGCCGGAACAAGCAAATGCAGCCAAGTCGTCGGGATGTCAAGGGGGCACCAAGTCGTACCTCTGGCACCTTCGGCTTGGCCACATAGGTCACGATGGACTCAATTGCATCGTGACGAAGAACATTGGAATTGGCATCGACATATCTTCGGTGAAGAAGTGGGACGTGTGTGAAGGTTGTGCTCTGGGAAAACAGACTCGAGTGCGCTTCCAATCAAACAATACAGCTCGCACCTCCAAACTCCTCGAAGTGATTCACAGCGACGTATGCGGACCGATGTCGATGGCAACTTTCAGTGGAAAACGGTACTTCGTGACATTCATTGATGACAAGTCAAGATACTGTGTCGTCTATCTGCTCAAGAGCAAATTTGAAGTTGCGGCGAAGTTCATGGAATACGCTGCGATGGCCGAAACGCAAACCGGAAAGCGCGTGAAGTACCTTCAAAGCGACAATGGGGGTGAATACAAGTCCGACAAGCTGGCACGATTCTGCGCGGAACGGGGAATACAACAAAGGTTCACACCCCCATATATTCCTCAGCTAAACGGAGTAGCTGAGAGAATGAATCGCACGCTGGTCGAGTGTGCGCGTTGCATGATGGAACACGCTGGACTGGGAAAGAGCTACTGGGGTGAAGCAGTGATGACGGCGATGTTTCTTCGAAACCGCTGTCCAACACGTGCCATTCACCAAGACAAGTCTCCATATCAAGTGTGGACGATGAAGAAACCGATTCTGGCCAACCTTAAAGTGTTTGGATGCCACGCGTATGTTCAAGTGCCTCAAGACAAACGCGCGAAGTTCGACTCCAAGTCATCACTCTGTCGTTTCCTGGGATACGCCGAACACCAGAAGTCATATCGATTTGAGGAAGTGTCAACAGGAGCGATCAAGATCAGTCGCGATGCCACATTCATGGAAGACAAGTTTGATGAAGGTCCGCGCAACTACAACGATGAGTCAAGTGTCGTTGAGTTTGATGATCATGATGAGGACGAAGAAAAAAAGAAGAAGGTAAAACTGACGACGACATGGACTCGAGCGACGATGACAACGAAGACACCAGGTCTTCGAAGAGCAACATCAAGAGACACACGCGCACTCAATCACTTGAGAAAGCTACCGTCATTCCAAGTCCCAAGCGAAGAACATACAGAGGTCCGTCGCTTGAGCATGTGTCAGCGGCTGCAATGGATTTTGAAGCAGCCTACATCGTTGATTCAGCGGGGGAAATGCCGACTACGTTCAAGTCGGCTATGGAATCAAGCGACTCCGGCAAGTGGAAAGAAGCGTGTGACTCGGAGTTCGATTCGCTTCAGAGAAACGACACGTGGGAAATCGTGCCTCTTCCGAAAGGTCGCAAGGCCATCGGGTGCCGATGGGTTTTTCGTGTAAAGGAGAATCAAGATGGCGAAGTTGAACGTTTCAAGGCAAGACTTGTGGCCAAAGGATTCTCACAGAAATTCGGAGTTGACTATGAAGAAACTTTCGCACCGGTGGCCAAGTTCACATCGATTCGTGTGGTGCTCAGTATGGCGGCTAAGTACGGCCTAATGCTACATCAGATGGACGTCAAGACAGCGTTTCTTAACGGCTCCCTCAACGAAGACATCTACATGGACCAGCCGGACGGATACCTGGATGCAACACAGCCGGACTATGTGTGCAAGCTAAAGAGATCACTCTACGGCTTGAAGCAATCGCCTCGCATGTGGAACCAAACAATCGATGGGTTCATGATCAAGATGGGATTCAAGAAGTGCGAATCGGACCACTGCATCTACATCAAGCGAGACGACCAAGACATGATTCTCGTGGTACTCTACGTCGATGATCTCATCCTGGCCAGCAGCAACAACGAACTCCTCAAGTCAACCAAGATGGCGCTGAGCAAACGCTTCGAAATGACGGATCTCGGTGAGCTCGATTACTTTCTCGGCATGGAGATCAAGAACGACCGTAAGACGGGAATGGTGACTGTACAACAAACCAAGTTTCTCAAGTCCGTGTTAACCAAGTTCGGAATGGATAACAGCAAGCCAGTGAAGACGCCTCAAGATCCCGGCCTGAAGCTAACCAGGAACATGTGTGAACAAGAATGCAAGCACGAAGACACCATGTGCAACGTGCCATATTGAAGTGCTGTCGGAGGCATCATGTATCTCATGGTCGCCACACGTCCGGATCTAGCTGCTGCAGTGGGATCATTATCCCAGTTCTCGTCCGACCCATGCCCGACTCACTGGCAAGCTTTGAAGCGTGTGCTGAGATACCTGCAAGCAACGCCCAATCATGGTCTTGAGTTTACACGTGAAGAAGGAAGCCGTATCTGCGGGTACACCGACGCAGACTGGGCCGGCGACATTGAGTCAAGACGAAGTACAAGCGGCTATGTGTTCATGATGAGCGGAGGATGCATCAGCTGGAAAAGCCAGAAACAACGGACGGTCGCGCTATCTTCAACAGAAGCAGAATACATGGCGCTTTCCGAAGCAACCAAAGAAGCAGTATGGCTCAAAGTGCTTTTGGGGGAACTTGGTGAGATGACAAGCGACGAAGCGATCAAGATGTATGAAGACAACCAAGGATCAATCGCTCTCGCCAAGAACCCGGAGTTCCATAAGAGAACAAAACACATCGACATACGCTACCATTTTGTGCGTGAGAAGGTGGAATCAGGTGAAGTCGTTTTGGAGTATTGCCCGACTCAAGATATGCTGGCAGACATGATGACCAAGCCGATCGCCGCTGTACAATTTGAAAACATTCGCGATCGACTTGGGATCCAAGGTGCCGCAGCTAACGAGTCGAGAGGGAGTGTTGAAAAGACAGCGGCTGTAAAGAAGACACCTCGTCAAGCTGCGTCAAGTGTTGAAGCAAGTGGAAGACCAAGCCTCGCTATACCGGTGGGTACCGGTATGTACCAGTAAGGGCGAAGTCAGGAAATGACGTCACTGGATGACGTCATTGCATGACGTCAGTGGGTGACGTCAGTGGGTGACGTCACTGGATGACGTCACTGCGAATAATAGGCTTAGAGGTAGTATTCAAAGTTGCAAACTAAGTACCTATTATAAATATATATTCACTTTGCGTTTTGCACTCGGACCAAGAAGTCTAAAGTTCATCACCATCCGCCTTGCGCTTGATCTTGAACACCCATTTTGTGCCAATGGCGCGTTGTCCGTTGGGCAGCTTGGCTGCACGAAACACACCGCGAAGTCGCATTGACTCGAGCTCTGCATGAATTGCTTTTCTCCAGTGCACTTGGTCAGGGTCGCTTACTGCTGCTTCAAATGTTGAGGGCTCTGATAAGTTCACTGCTGCTTCAACGGCATTTGCACTCGCACGCCAAAACACAGGCGGTGTTGAATCACCAGAATCCTTCGTTTCTTCGTCTTCTTCTTGTCGTGACGAGTTGTTTTCCGGCGCGCTTGACTCTTCTAGTCCTGGTCGTTGACGCACTGCACGCGGTCGTGGAGGTGCTGTATCTTCATCATTGAGTCGGTTCTTGCGCTTGCCTATTTGCTTGTACTCCATTTGACGCAGCTCTTCGTCATCAAGATCCAGCAATTCGAAGTCCAGGTCATCGACATCTTCATCAGTGATCGGCAGTTGAAGTCCAAAGGTGGACTCTTCGAAGTTGACATCGCGGCTGATAACCACCTGCCCCGCCTCGATGTCATAAACACGATATGCCTTCGAAACTTCTTCGTAGACCACGAATATGCCAGCGCGAGCCTTTGGATCCCACTTGAGTCGATTCTCTTTAGGCGTCAGTATGTATGTCTGACACCCGAATGTTCGCATGTGCTTGACGCTTGGTTTCAAGTTGTAGACGATCTCAAACGGGGTCTTGTGCACGACTTTAGGTGACGGCAGTCGATTCTTGACGTAGATGGCCGTCATCGCTGCTTCGGCCCAGAAACATGTTGAAAAGACAGCGGCTGTGAAGAAGACACCTCGTCAAGCTGCGTCAAGTGTTGAAGCAAGTGGAAGACCAAGCTTCGCTATACCGGTGGGTACCGGTATGTACCAGTAAGGGCGAAGTCAGGAAATGACGTCACTGGATGACGTCATTGCATGACGTCAGTGGGTGACGTCAGTGGGTGACGTCACTGGATGACGTCACTGCGAATAATAGGCTTAGAGGTAGTATTCAAAGTTGCGAACTAAGTACCTATTATAAATATATATTCACTTTGCGTTTTGCACTCGGACCAAGAAGTCTAAAGTTCATCAGGTTATGAGCCCAAGTTCGTCAGACTCTGAAACCGCCAACAATTCAAGCTTAGCTGCCATGGACGCCTCCTCCCTCCGCATCTCCAAGTTCGATGGAACTAACTTCCACGCCTGGAAGTTCAAGATGCAGATGGTGCTGGAGGAACGGGACCTATGGGAGGTCGTCAGCGGTGAGATCAAGGCGGAACAGTGCGAGACTCAGTTGGACCAAGCGACGTACAAGAGGAAGTCAAGAAAGGCGATGGCAGTGATCTGTCTAGCCATGGAAGATTCCCAGCTACCGTTGGTCCGGTCGGCAAGTGGTGCATGCGACGCATGGTCAAGGTTGGAAGACCACTTCGAGAAGAAGAGTCTTGCCAACAAGCTGTTCTTGCGCCGTCGCTTCTTCACGACAATGATGGAAGAAGGCGACGATGTGCTCGAACACATCAACAAGCTCAAGACGCTGGCGGAACAGCTAGAAGCGGTGGGGGCTCCAGTCTGCGAGGACGATCTGGTGATCACACTCCTCGGCAGCCTGAGTGACTCGTATCAATTCTTGATCACAGCTTTGGAGTCGCGCTCAGACACTCTTAGCTGGGAGCTCGTGACGTCTCGACTGCTTCATGAAGAAATGAAGCGGAAGGAGCAAGGAAGTAAAGGTGATGAAGCTTCGCAAGGTCAAGCGTTCATCACAAGGGACAATCAGCGCAAAGGGCGACCAGTGAAGAAGTCCTGGCCGTGCCACAATTGCGGAAAGATTGGTCATTGGATGGCGGAGTGCCCCTCGCGCATCCAAGAAAACACGGAGAGACACCGGCCACAGCGTGCTCAAGACAGCGGCGACCGCTATCGATCACAACGTGCAAACGTCGCTCAAGAAGAAGACTCGGGCGACTACCTCTTTTCGATCGGTGAAACGACATCTGCGAAATCGAGCGACATCTGGCTGGTCGACTCCGGGGCGACGCAGCACATGACGTGCTCCAAGAAGTTCATGCGGAACTACAAGGGGTTTGACGCTGTGGATGTCCATCTCGCGGATGATGGAATCGTCCAAGCAATCGGCAGTGGGGACATTGTCATGTCGATGAAGACACCCCAAGGGATGAAGAAAGGTGTGCTCACAAACGTGTGGCACATCCCAAAGTTATCCAGAAACCTGTTCTCGGTCGGCCGCTTCACCAAGGATGTCGGCCCAGTGACGTTCACGAAGGATGGGTGCTATGGAGAAGCGAAAGGGACCAAGTGGAAAATTGGTGCCCGTGAAGGTAAAGGACTGTTCAAGCTGCAAATGACTCCAGTGGCGCCGGAACAAGCAAATGCAGCCAAGTCGTCGGGATGTCAAGGGGGCACCAAGTCGTACCTCTGGCACCTTCGGCTTGGCCACATAGGTCACGATGGACTCAATTGCATCGTGACGAAGAACATTGGAATTGGCATCGACATATCTTCGGTGAAGAAGTGGGACGTGTGTGAAGGTTGTGCTCTGGGAAAACAGACTCGAGTGCGCTTCCAATCAAACACTACAGCTCGCACCTCCAAACTCCTCGAAGTGATTCACAGCGACGTATGCGGACCGATGTCGATGGCAACTTTCAGTGGAAAACGGTACTTCGTGACATTCATTGATGACAAGTCAAGATACTGTGTCGTCTATCTGCTCAAGAGCAAATCTGAAGTTGCGGCGAAGTTCATGGAATACGCTGCGATGGCCGAAACGCAAACCGGAAAGCGCGTGAAGTACCTTCAAAGCGACAATGGGGGTGAATACAAGTCCGACAAGCTGGCACGATTCTGCGCGGAACGGGGAATACAACAAAGGTTCACACCCCCATATACTCCTCAGCTAAACGGAGTAGCTGAGAGAATGAATCGCACGCTGGTCGAGTGTGCGCGTTGCATGATGGAACACGCTGGACTGGGAAAGAGCTACTGGGGTGAAGCAGTGATGACGGCGATGTTTCTTCGAAACCGCTGTCCAACACGTGCCATTCACCAAGACAAGTCTCCATATCAAGTGTGGACGATGAAGAAACCGATTCTGGCCAACCTTAAAGTGTTTGGATGCCACGCGTATGTTCAAGTGCCTCAAGACAAACGCGCGAAGTTCGACTCCAAGTCATCACTCTGTCGTTTCCTGGGATACGCCGAACACCAGAAGTCATATCGATTTGAGGAAGTGTCAACAGGAGCGATCAAGATCAGTCGCGATGCCACATTCATGGAAGACAAGTTTGATGAAGGTCCGCGCAACTACAACGATGAGTCAAGTGTCGTTGAGTTTGATGATCATGATGAGGACGAAGAAAAAGAAGAAGGTAAAACTGACGACGACATGGACTCGAGCGACGATGACAACGAAGACACCAGGTCTTCGAAGAGCAACATCAAGAGACACACGCGCACTCAATCACTTGAGAAAGCTACCGTCATTCCAAGTCCCAAGCGAAGAACATACAGAGGTCCGTCGCTTGAGCATGTGTCAGCGGCTGCAATGGATTTTGAAGCAGCCTACATCGTTGATTCAGTGGGGGAAACGCCGACTACATTCAAGTCGGCGATGGAATCAAGCGACTCCGGCAAGTGGAAAGAAGCGTGTGACTCGGAGTTCGATTCGCTTCAGAGAAACGACACGTGGGAAATCGTGCCTCTTCCGAAAGGTCGCAAGGCCATCGGGTGCCGATGGGTTTTTCGTGTAAAGGAGAATCAAGATGGCGAAGTTGAACGTTTCAAGGCAAGACTTGTGGCCAAAGGATTCTCACAGAAATTCGGAGTTGACTATGAAGAAACTTTCGCACCGGTGGCCAAGTTCACATCGATTCGTGTGGTGCTCAGTATGGCGGCTAAGTACGGCCTAATGCTACATCAGATGGACGTCAAGACAGCGTTTCTTAACGGCTCCCTCAACGAAGACATCTACATGGACCAGCCGGACGGATACCTGGATGCAACACAGCCGGACTATGTGTGCAAGCTAAAGAGATCACTCTACGGCTTGAAGCAATCGCCTCGCATGTGGAACCAAACAATCGATGGGTTCATGATCAAGATGGGATTCAAGAAGTGCGAATCGGACCACTGCATCTACATCAAGCGAGACGACCAAGACATGATTCTCGTGGTGCTCTACGTCGATGATCTCATCCTGGCCAGCAGCAACAACGAACTCCTCAAGTCAACCAAGATGGCGCTGAGCAAACGCTTCGAAATGACGGATCTCGGTGAGCTCGATTACTTTCTCGGCATGGAGATCAAGAACGACCGTAAGACGGGAATGGTGACCGTACAACAAACCAAGTTTCTCAAGTCCGTGTTAACCAAGTTCGGAATGGATAACAGCAAGCCAGTGAAGACGCCTCAAGATCCCGGCCTGAAGCTAACCAAGAACATGTGTGAACAAGAATGCAAGCACGAAGACACCATGTGCAACGTGCCATATCGAAGTGCTGTCGGAGGCATCATGTATCTCATGGTCGCCACACGTCCGGATCTAGCTGCTGCAGTGGGATCATTATCCCAGTTCTCGTCCGACCCATGCCCGACTCACTGGCAAGCTTTGAAGCGTGTGCTGAGATACCTGCAAGCAACGCCCAATCATGGTCTTGAGTTTACACGTGAAGAAGGAAGCCGTATCTGCGGGTACACCGACGCAGACTGGGCCGGCGACATTGAGTCAAGACGAAGTACAAGCGGCTATGTGTTCATGATGAGCGGAGGATGCATCAGCTGGAAAAGCCAGAAACAACGGACGGTCGCGCTATCTTCAACAGAAGCAGAATACATGGCGCTTTCCGAAGCAACCAAAGAAGCAGTATGGCTCAAAGTGCTTTTGGGGGAACTTGGTGAGATGACAAGCGACGAAGCGATCAAGATGTATGAAGACAACCAAGGATCAATCGCTCTCGCCAAGAACCCGGAGTTCCATAAGAGAACAAAACACATCGACATACGCTACCATTTTGTGCGTGAGAAGGTGGAATCAGGTGAAGTCGTTTTGGAGTATTGCCCGACTCAAGATATGCTGGCAGACATGATGACCAAGCCGATCGCCGCTGTACAATTTGAAAACATTCGCGATCGACTTGGGATCCAAGGTGCCGCAGCTAACGAGTCGAGAGGGAGTGTTGAAAAGACAGCGGCTGTAAAGAAGACACCTCGTCAAGCTGCGTCAAGTGTTGAAGCAAGTGGAAGACCAAGCTGATGAACTTTAGACTTCTTGGTCCGAGTGCAAAACGCAAAGTGAATATATATTTATAATAGGTACTTAGTTCGCAACTTTGAATACTACCTCTAAGCCTATTATTCGCAGTGACGTCATCCAGTGACGTCACCCACTGACGTCACCCACTGACGTCATTTCCTGACTTCGCCCTTACTGGTACATACCGGTACCCACCGGTATAGCGAAGCTTGGTCTTCCACTTGCTTCAACACTTGACGCAGCTTGACGAGGTGTCTTCTTCACAGCCGCTGTCTTTTCAACACTCCCTCTCGACTCGTTAGCTGCGGCACCTTGGATCCCAAGTCGATCGCGAATGTTTTCAAATTGTACAGCGGCGATCGGCTTGGTCATCATGTCTGCCAGCATATCTTGAGTCGGGCAATACTCCAAAACGACTTCACCTGATTCCACCTTCTCACGCACAAAATGGTAGCGTATGTCGATGTGTTTTGTTCTCTTATGG